TTTAAGCCCATCACCTCCTGGTTGTCCTTGAGGTCCTTGACATCCTGAAGGCCCCTGAGGCCCCAGTGGCTCCAGTGTCTCCTTTAGGCTCTTGAGGCCCTCGAGGTCCTGCGACCCTTGCAGACCCCGGCACTCCTTTAGGACCTGTTAGACCTCTAATGCCTTTTTGCCTTTGAGGTCCTTGAGCTCCCTGAGGTCCTTGAGGCCCTTGAAATCCTGTGGCCCCGGGCGCAGCATCGCTTCCATTTGTTCCATCAGTTCTGTCATCTCCTCTAGGACCCTCATCACCTTTCTCTCCATTTGGTCCTCTATGACCCGTATCTTCTTGAGCCACTGTAGCTCCTGTATCACCTTTATCTCCCTTAGCTCTTCTTGGGCCACTAGGCCCAGGTGGTACTGGTTTTCCAAATCCATAACCATCATCAGTTCCACCGATTATTAATGTTGCAATTAGTTTGATACGTTTAGTTTGATGCGATGTTTAGTTTGATACGATGTTTAGTTTGATACGATGTTTAGTTTGATACGATGTTTAGTTTGATGCGATGTTTAGTTTGATACGATGTTTAGTTTGATACGATGTTTAGTTTGATGCGATGTTTAGTTTGATGCGATGTTTAGTTTGATGCGATGTTTAGTTTGATGCGATGTTTAGTTTGATGCGATGTTTAGTTTGATACGATGTTTAGTTTGATACGATGTTTAGTTTGATGCGATGTTTAGTTTGATGCGATGTTTAGTTTGATACGATGTTTAGTTTGATACGATGTTTAGTTTGATGCGATGTTTAGTTTGATGCGATGTTTAGTTTGATACGATGTTTAGTTTGATACGATGTTTAGTTTGATACGATGTTTAGTTTGATGCGATGTTTAGTTTGATGCGATGTTCAGTTTGATACGATGTTTAGTTTGATACGATGTTTAGTTTGATGCGATGTTTAGTTTGATACGATGTTTAGTTTGATGCGATGTTTAGTTTGATGCGATGTTTAGTTTGATACGATGTTTAGTTTGATACGATGTTTAGTTTGATACGATGTTTAGTTTGATGCGATGTTTAGTTTGATGCGATGTTCAGTTTGATGCGATGTTTAGTTTGATGCGATGTTCAGTTTGATGCGATGTTTAGTTTGATGCGATGTTTAGTTTGATGCGATGTTCAGTTTGATGCGATGTTTAGTTTGATGCGATTTTTTTAATAGCTTTAGCTTCACCTTCACGGCGTGCGTTTTCAGCAGCGGCAGCAACAGCTTTTTCTTTTTCACGCTCTAAGTCCTTATTTGTCGTTTTCATCTCTTTGAGCCGAAGCTACATTGGCAGCCTGTTTGATATTAGAAAAGGAAACTATGGTTGTGATCCAAACAATGGAGAGCTCAGACAAAATGTAATTCAACGGCAAGCGATTGAAATACCTCCAGGCGCTCACAACATTCCCAACATCAATCAAGCTATTGAGGACGCTATGGAATCATTGGGGTAAAGTTCTCACATGAAGATGAGATCGCAAGTCGTGAAATATTCTTACATCAAAATCTGCGATTACTATTAAGGGTGACCTTGTAGTTTCCTTTAATGTAGATAACAGCATAGGTCCTATCCTTGGTTTTGTTAATAATGGATATGATATTACTAGAGGAAAGACTTTAAGTCAGAATCGAATTAACATAACAGATATAAAGAAACTCCACATTCACTGCTCGCTTATTAATTCAAGTATAGTAAACGGAATTTCTTGTGATGTTATTAAATTGTTTACTCCAAACCGAGGACCAGGACGTTTGTTGGAAATAAGTTCTAGCCCACCGACCTACTTACCAGTCATAAGGAATAGCCTTCTTACTCGGGAGCGAATGGAAATTACTGATAAATCAGGAAATGAACAGTTTCACGTAAGCAGTCTTGTTGCCGATCTCGCCCGCGGGGATGTTAAAAGAGTGGCTAGAAAACTTGCCAGTAATGTGGCAGTGGTCTCGCACGGAATCGACTTTGAGGGGATTGCTTCAGGCGTGGCAGTTTGTGGCTTTCTTGTGGCTCCCTCAATCCTTACCTGTCATATGTATAGGCTTAGGGTTAGCCAACACTGTCTTGATCTTGCGCTCTTCTTCTTGGAGCGCTTTCACGAAATGTTTGGCCGCGTCATGCCCTTTGTAGAGCTGCGGCGGCTGCATTTACCCGTCAGAACGAACTACTATGTACGAGTAGCCGCATGCTTTGTGCCTGGAGGTTTGCTGGGTGCCGCTCTTTTCAGCCTTTGTGCTCGGACATCTTTTCTACGAAGGCGAGCTTTTCCGGCTTGCTGACCACAATCTGCGCATCGTTGTGCCTCTGCCTGCGTGCTGAAACCACAACACCGACATGGGACCGGAACCGGCGACCCACACCGTATTTGTTGCAGATGCACTCCGCAATACTTTCCATACATGACTTTCCACACAGTTCTCTAGTGTGGACCTTCACTCACGCGCAATTGTTCTTGCCCTGCCTCATGGCTGTCGAACGTTTGGATATACGCTGTGAATCGTCTTTCTTCAAATGACCAACGGCCGGCGGAGGGGACCGCCTTAGCCCCGATGGCCGGCTACGCAGGCGATGGGGCTGGGGCAGCCGTCTTTGGCTCCTGCCGTTTTCCAGGGTTTTGCCTTCGCTGTCTTGCAATTATGCTAGCATAATTAAACTATATGCTTACTATATATGTCTTTCAGACATACATAGTAACCACGTACGCGAACTAAGGTTGGGGCGCTTAGAATTGCGTATACTAGGTCCCAAACTGTGAAAAGTACTAGAAACGACGCTTTGTATATTACTACTTTAGAATTGTCTAGAATTGCGTTCTAAAGTAAACAATCAAGGTTTATCGTCAGAAATCTGAATAAAACGCTTGACGGCAATGTCGGCAGTCATGTTTTTCCACTCCGTATACCTATTGCTTTCCTATTCGCTATCAATTAATACATAGAGAGTAAATATTTATATTTTTCTCCAAACAGAATTAAATACTCTCCAAAAATTTATGCAAGTCTAATTATCGATCAATGAGCTAACGCCGCCTTTGTTGACATGCTATTGAATTTACATCGCATTTTATAGATCTTAGTAGTCAATTGTAATTTAGAGAGAAATTGTTGATTTCTCTTTAGCAACTCAGTTCTATTGGGAAATGATCAATTTATCCAGGCATAAAATTTTTGGCTTACTTTGACTTTGTCTACGTGTCTCTAAGATGACTATGTCCGCCACAAACTATAAATATCGTTTAGATGTACATACAAATAACACAGTTTTCATTAAAAAATCTTTGATGTTAAGCAACAAAAACATTTCAAACATAAATAGCAATTAAAACCTTGCAACGCATTTCCGTCATTTTAATTTGTTCTCACCGGCATATATATTATACGCAATTTTCGCTGATGTTTAAATTTATTCTAAATCGCAAAAAGTACGTAAATTCGAAAGAAGGTTTTAGGTTAACATCGATAGGAACAATTATAAATTATATATCTGATTTCAGAACGACAAAGCACAAAGATTTGCTTGGCAGTGTGAAAAATAAGAAGCAATGAGGTAATTAGCATTGAACTAGAATACCTCCGGAAAGACAAGTCGGGAGGGGGTACATTAAATCCAAATTTTCGCCATTTTGCAGGTCAACCCCCATCCTTTTGTAAAAGAAATATTAAAAAACAGATTTTTTATATTTCTTAAATAGAATGTCAAAAATCGGACAAAATCATAGCTATGCTGTGAAGTTTTAACTTTTAAAGCAAAGACAAAAATTTGAGTTTTTGAAAGTTCCAGACATACCTAAACTTTCAAACTACCTAAATATTTGTTTAAACAGAGCACTCTTTCTTTGACAAAGTGTTTAAACAGAGCATTATTTCTTTGACAAAGTGTTACATTTAAGCAACACTGTCATCTTTATTCCTGCAAATTGTAAGACCCAAACATTCTTTTCCTCTGAAGTATTAGAATTTAGAAACTTATGTTCGTCCTATCCCTAATATTTAGATTTGAACACTTCTCCGTCAAAAGCAAATAATTACCAAACAGTGACATATGTTGATGTTTTGTATTTACAATGATAGTGGAATTGTGTGACTAAAGAAGGTGGATATAAGAAGAACACCCACAAATTTGGCTTCTTTTTCAAACGTTTAAGATATGGATGCTAGATTTTACAAGCATACCAATTTTTCAAATCAATGAACATACATGAACACAAGCAAAATAGAAAGTTAATTGAAGGGAAGGGGTAGTTTCCAGTATTTGAATACACATTACCAAGATTGTTCAAAGAGGCAGTGACATCAACATGATTTGGATATAACAATTGTTTTCGAATTTCCAGAGCTTTTTCGTGAAACTCTGTAGCTTTGTCGTAATCTTTATTTTTGTACAAACCTCGCCCTACGGGCTCGGTCTGTATAAAAAAACTTCAGTCCGATATTTCTCCGTAAAGAGCTCGCACTCTGTCGTATGAATGTTTTATCATATCTTCATTTAATGAGCTCGCACTCTGTTATTAGGGGCTTATTAATTATTATCATCCAAGTTTGTATAAGCTTGTTAGGTTGTTTGTCAACTTGATGTCTTCATTGCTCATTTGTGCGTCCTTACACCGGAAAACGGAAGATCAAGTAGAAGTAATTTGCAATCGGCGAGGAATCATCCGAAAGCATAGTCTTATGAAATAATAATTATTAAAAATCTTACTCTTCACAAACTTCATAAAAAAGCTATAAAAAGAACCGTAACAAAAGTCAAGATATTATTCAAATGCGTGCTCGCAAGTGATAAAAACTCAATTATATCTCGCTCCGGCAAACGGTTCAAGCTTTGTAGTCTATTGTTAATACATTCCTCGGTTTAGTCTGATCGAAGTAGTCTGTTGGTTAATTTAATGAAAAGCAGAAAGTCCATTTGCGACTTTAAAGTAAATATACTTCGTGGTGAGTCATAAATAATTAAATATACTTTAAAAAAAAGCCTTACCTTGTTTAAGATGGCAGTGATTTGTTTTTGGTAAGCATATTGTTCTTGTTTGGAATTGTAACTTCGTTTGATTTATCTACAATTACAGAATTTACAAGCTTCCATAGGTCACATTTATACGTCGTAATCAAGCATGAAAATTCTTTGTTTTTGTCTTAAAACCTTCAACTGGTTAACGGCGTGTAGCCTTGAACAGTTGAACTTTTAGAAAGATTTAAAATTCTGACAACTTAAGCATCATATATTCTTCTTTCGAGTCGATAAGTGGAAAATTATTTTGTGCCACGGAATTTAAAACATCTTAAGAATAGATTGTTATGTAAAGCAAAGATATGGTTTTATGATTTTTATTGTTTTGTTCATAGTTTGAATATAATTTGGAACAAATTGATCAATAGAAATAAGTATAAATTTTATTAAATTATACCGTTTTAAGATATTTTGGAAGTAAGTATGTGATGATAAACCTCAGCTACATACTCAAGGTATGGAAATTTACAATGTCAGATTTCGCAACTTTTCTCCATTAATTTAAGATATGACCATAAAGTGGAGTGTTAAAAGAATTAATAATTTGCAATATTCATATCTGCTTTAAATTTAAATTTATTGTAACTATAATGCGATGAATTTGCATACATGAACTTTCGCAACCAAAGCTTGACGAAAGACAATTGTAACGTTAAAAAGGTTAGCAAATTTTTTAGCCGCATTTAAAATGTGGAGATAACACACTTTCTGATCAATATTTCTACTTCTAATACGACTTAAATATTTAAACTATTCAATGATGACATGCATGAGTCCATTTGCAATTTAAAACTAAATTTTCTTCCTGATTCATAAATGTCATTTCATACTATCACAAGTATAATGAAATAACACATATTTTATAAATATACCGTCCGGACCCAAAGATAAATATAATTGCATGCTAGCAAGCAGGTTGAATTCCTTAGCAAGCAAGCACATCACGATAAACACGCTTCCTTTAGATGACAGTGATTTTTCGGTAAGCAAATTGTTTGTATTTGTAACTTTGTTTACAAGTTGCTACGGGTATCTATGATGTATATTTTATAGTACTAGGTTGAGACTAATATTTATTAAAAGTATTAATTATATTTGACGAACAACTTTTATTCAAGATCTCATTTATACATCGTTTACACACAAGATAATTCTTTGTCTTTTGTCTTACAAACCTTTTACTGGTCGACGGTTGAAGCTTTGAACATTCGATCTTTCAGATTTCTTAACGTTCTGATAAGTTAAGCGTCAAATGACTTCGTCTGTTAAGTTGATACGTGGCAAATTATTTTGTGCAACTGAATTTAAAACATTAAAAGTTAATTGTTATGTAAAAGCAAAGATACGGCCTTATGATTTTATTGTTTTTCCTAATAAACTTGAATTTAATTTGGATCGAATTCATCAATAGAAATGAGAAGTGTAAATTATATTACATTATACCATTTTAAGGTACTTTGGGAGCGATTGGTAAAAACTACAGCTCGATATGTCAGTTTTATTTTTATACTAGTGGTACTCTTGCTCGTTGAATAACACAATATCATTGCACAATTATATGTCATGAACGTCTAAATTGTGCTTGTTGAAATCTTTAGTATAAATGGTTTATTGATAAACATTTAAAAAGCTACATTTCAGAAATAATAACGCTGCTAAAAGGCGAAAACCACTTTTAATAAACATAAATTAAATTACAATTAAACACATCATGATAAACACGCCTTATTTTAGATAAATGGCAGTGATTTTTGGTAAGCAGTTAATATGTTTGTATTTGTAACTTGGTTTGATTGGTGTACAATTACAGGATTGCAAAGTCTACGGATATCTATGATGTATATTTTATAGTACTTGGGTGTGACGAATATTTATCAAATAAATATGACGAGCAATTTTATTTAAGATCTCATTTACAGATCGTTAACACACACGATAATTCTTTATCTTTAGTCTTACAAACCTTTTACTAGTTGATGGCTCCAAACTTTGAACATTCGATCTTTCAAATCACTTAACGTTCTGAAAAGTTAAGCGTCAAATGGTTGCGTCCTTTGAGTTGATACGTGGCAAATTATTTTGTGCAACTGAATTTAAAACATTAAAAGTTTATTGTTATGTAAAGCAAAGATACGGCCTTATGATTTTTATTGTTTTTATTAACATGTTTGAATTTTATTCAGGTTTCCTTGGTATTTTTGGAGCTTGTTAAAAAAAACCTTAGCTCCATAATTATGAGTTCGTCTTATACATGAAAATTTACAATATCAGATTGTGGAACTTTTGTTTCATTTGCTTGTTTAAGTTGAATAAGACAAACTAGGCGTTCGTTGGCTTAAATGTTGGGAAAAGTAAATCTCACGCCTTGATAAGATAACATTACATTATATTCTGATAAATTAAATGAAGGAAAGCTGATATAGAGTTCTTATTGTAGAAACTATAAAGATTTGTTAAGATCATGTCCGATGTTTGGTTGTATCATTTAGGTATATTTCAAGCTGTTTCTGGTAATCAGAATTGATCCGTAAGATGGCAAAAGTTAAGTTTATTAAAAGCACAATTCAAAACGACTTCACACCAAGAATATAAAAATGTCCATTGCTGAATTAACTAATTAGTTTATAACTAGTTGATTGGCATAATTTAAACCCAAAAAGCCTCAAACGTGGTCGAACTAAATTAGTCAAAACTGTAAACTGAATAGATTTTTTTATAGAAATATACACCACCTCCATGTGGTCCAAAAGCTCTGTTTTTATAAACAATGTTATACTCAGTATCTCAAGATTACAAGTATCATGTAAGCTATGTTTCTGCGATGAACACTACATCGGGTTTCTTGCTTGGCAGCAAAATCGCGAATTATTTTGAGCTTTTCCTTTTAAATGTAAAGCCCTAATTATATATGCAAAATGCACTTCCGGTCACCCACTAGAGATACAAATTACTATAGAAATGTTTGGCGGATAACGTTTACAACCAAGGATTTTCGAATATTTAAGGCATTTGGCGACGTTTTACTTATCTCAAATATCTGTCATGGATAAATAAAGTTATTTAAATCTATGTGACATCAAAATTATTTCGATACCTGTAAAATATCGGCGTTCGTGTTCATTTGAAAATCGCTCGTGCAAGAATCGAATTTGCCTCATAGTTGTCAAGACAAGATAATGCGCAGCTCGCTTTCCAAGTTTAGAGGCAGTTATGATCTAGAATATGTTTCAATGCGCAAAAACTGTGGTAAGTACCTTTATTTTATCATTCTTTATAATCTAGAGATTGTCGTATGTTACTATTTCCGTGACTTTATGAGTCCGGGTATATTGGTGTAGGAACAAACAAATTTACTAAGCTTAGTTTATTCTTAGTTTTAATTTCTATTTTTATTTTATAAAGATAATATTATCACTACACCTTGCTATAGCATTTGGATATGGTATTCATCAGTACGTATGGTTGTTATTGTCATAACATGCAGGGGCGGATCTGGGGTATGTCAAATCATTCACGCGACTGATGTTTATAGTTCAAAAATTACTTATCAAATTTAATGATTACAATTTTTTGTGATCATTGAATTCCCGATGTATAATCGTATGAATTTCATTGTCAAAATTCTGTTTTATATCTGAAATCTTACGTAACTATCATGTTTTAGCATATCTGGAATTATATTAACTGACTGACTGATAAGCGGTGATGATTAATATTTTTTAACATGAGGTTATGTGATTATGCGATTTACAAAATGTTTTTGATTCAGAATCACGTAGTCTTAAACCTTAAAATAGTTGTACTTTCTATTGCAAATCACAGCAGTTTTTAAACAGTGATATAATTTTACAATGAGGTAATTGAATGTTTATTCATAACAATCCATGGTTGCTTTATAATACTAGTAAGTATCGTTTGTCCAATTATTGCATTCAAGACAATATGTAGTTTACAACCCACTTTTTTAATCTCTTAGATTAGTTTATTAACTTAACCTATTTCTTTAGTAAGCTTGCATTGTCAGTTAAATTATTTTTATTTAGTTTCTTAGAACATTTTCCATTTGCTGTTGTTAGCAAGTAAACTATAATGTTATACTTAAAATTTTAGGGTTATGTATAAATTAGGTATGATACATGCATGTAAAGAAGAGAATAAGTTACAAATGGTTGAGGAAGCATATAAGTTACCATGACTTGTGAATGAGAATTATCATTTTTTGGTTAAATGACATTGGCAACGAAAATTTTTTTTTCATACGTTTATCATAGATAGCTATGGAATACTTAATTTCGTGTTTTCGTGTCTCTTTTGAATTTTGCTTTTGAGAAAATTTGACATAAAGTTGAATCCTTATCCGCCATTTTGGAAAAAAAGGCTTATGCTAAATTATGCCAGAATACATTACTGACGTCATTGGCTGGTATCCACTGAATGACACAATATAAAATAATAGTATTATAATAATATATAGCACATTTGTTCACTGGAATTTTAAAACAAAGACAACAGTCGGCGGTTGTTAAGATTAACAAAAGTTGTGTAGTTTATCACGCTTATAAACTTTTCCAATATTTAGTCGTTATAAGACGTAGAAACGTTTATTTTAGCAGATTTTACAACTAGGCTTTGCCGACATACCAATTGTAAGCCCAGACAACAACAAGCGCGTTTTATACACTGCACATTTCGTGCAATAGTAAAAATATTTCATTTTCCCATATTACAAACCTGTGACCAACAAATGAGTTATACGTTTAATTTATTATTTGTATACATAAGAGTCTTTGAAAGGTTATGTAGTTTTATACAGGTGATAAGCTCTAAGCCGCGGTGTTTTGTTCTTGAGTGTAGAGTTTCGTTTATCCGTAATGTTTTACGTGCGTGTTTGCGTGCACAATGTACAAGTACACTTTTCGATTAACTTTATAACTTATGAATGAATACAAGTTTTGGGTGGATCACTCATACATTTTGCTTTTGCGCAGTTCGTGACAATCCTTTGACAATGATATGGCATCGCAATTGCAGATCATAACAAAGAACATCAAAGAGCGTCTGTCTAAGACTAAATTTACGGTCTTTCGTGATAACATGCGTATTTAAAATGTGTATAAAGTCCGTCTGGTGACGCGAAGCGTTTTTGTATGCTAGTATAAACACAAGCAGGAAATGGTCTTCCATGTTTCTTCCCCAAAATTTGAAAAATCCACCTAGAACATCTTTGGGATGCGACTAAGCGATACAGCTTGTGTATTCTCTCTAGATCCTCATCAGACAGGGGCCAGTTTTCTTCAAGATGCCGACACACGTCTATCTTTAACACACTTTCTGAGAGCATATTGTCCTAAACTCTTGGTGTGTTGTCAAGCAATTTACTCCTTGAGTTTCTGTTTGGCCTAGAAAAGCCTCATACTCATCGTATTCAAGCGCTTTTTCGTGGCAACAAAAACACTCGATTGCCTTTTTTGACAAAGTACAATGTCCACACTTACACCAACTAAGAGTTTGAAGGCGCCAAGCATTTGCTTTCTCAAATTCAGCATGTAATTCATCCTCCGACGAGGACAAGTCGCTCTGCTCACTCTCCTGTTCGGAACCACTTTCTTCACTAGTTTCGGCCTTCACTTCAGGTTCATATTGATAGGGCAGAACCTCACTCGGTTGATTTTCGTGTATGTCATCCATTACAGCAAAAAAATCCCGTAAAGTACGCTTTAAATGTGTTGTAACGCAGTCAATCACAAAGTATATTGTATTGTTGTTTTGACTGCTCACCAGCCAATGACGTCACTACCGCTCGAGATAATTTTTTCAAAATTTTATCCAAGATGGCGCAATTTATAAACTTTTGCTGCAAATATCTCAGAACAAAATATTTTGAGAAAAATTTTTCTATTTTAGTTGTTAGACATCACAAAGGTTCAAAAATATGCCATAAAATTTTCGTTGCCAATGTCCTTTAAAGTATTACTAAATTTGTAGTTCACCAGCACTTAGGGGAATTGGGTTGTAACATTAGGATATATGAAATAATCTAAAATAAATAGAGGACAGTTACATTTTATTATTTACTTTAGTTCATATCATAATGAAATGACCAAAAATACAGAAAAACTGGATTGCTGCTAATAAAGCTTTTAAGATGGTGTTGCAATGCCTAATGACGATGTGGCTGTAGTAATCTCTCAATAATGTTTTATAATGACCTGAACATCTATAACCTTTATAAAAATCAGCTTGAACCATTGCCAGTCCTAAACAAAGTTCTCTTGAAAGTTGCCTAATGATTGTGATATTGGGAAAATGACTTGCTGTCGGTGAAGTTTATTTTTAGATGTTTCTTTTGCCATGGAAACTGGCTGATTCTTTGGTCCATGTGAATGCAGACATTGGTGAGAGGTATTTTCTGTTTCTTCTGATTTTGAAGATGATAGCTTTAAATGTTTCTTTTCAAGATAATGGTTAGTTTATTGGGTGAATGAGTGTCTCAATTAAGCAAAATACTGATGGTTTGTTTGCTCTCTTAAAGAATGGTCATCCAAATTTGCCTAGTTGTGTTTGACTTTGTTGCATACATCAAGATGTATTCTATCAGAAAAATCTGGTATGAACGTGTCCTTTTTCTCAGAACAATTGTTTTAGCACTTTCTCACAAGCAGACCTTGTGAAACAGTTAAGAAATTTATTAATCATTCGTGTACAATAAAAATATAAACCCAGTACGTGTCTTCTCTGTAGATAAGCAACGTCTCTTCACAAGGAATTCTACAACTGGCACAACAAGAGAAAGACAATCTCAACGAAACAGTGTTGTCTTAGGCAAGCTTTTCTTACAATTCATTATTGCATGTTTGTTGTTACGTTTTCATTTACGTTCATTTCGTGTCGTTTGAAATGTTTTTTTTCTTCACAACCAAATGCAACACGTGATTGCTTTGCAGATGCACATGGCCTTTCATCGCACGAAACGACTTCGACAAGTTTTATGAACATAACACCTGCAGGAAGACGTTCTCAACCAAACATTAATGGTACTTTTTCTGCAGTATATAGTTTTTGAATAGCGTTGTTATTATGTATGCGTATTCAATTAGCAATTTGATGCGAGTTTTATTTGAATTTTCTTGTTAGCATGTAGTAAGGTTTATATTTTTAAGATATTACGTAGGTTATACATAAGTTATTCTATTATTTTCTTATCTATCTTGTAGGCTTCCAAAGATCAGTTCTTACCAAACTGGAAACATTAATTGATAAGCAAGAAGGAGCGTTGTCAATATTGCGTGCTCTGTTAAGCGTTACGAAAGGTGTAGACGAGCACGAAATTTTGGAAGATGTTGTACCCAATCCCTTAGATTCAGTTGAAGAACTTGAGGAGCTATCCTCTAGTCTTGATGAAGAAAAGTCCAGAAGAAAGTTGGTAAGTTTTGGAAAGTTAACCACCCATACGTATTTAGTAATATTTATTGGCACTGCCTATTTTTTATGCATGACTCTTTCAAGTGTTACGTAAAAAAATGTGTCAAAGGAAGGCATAGCCCTTCCCTTTTATCGGTTTGGAAACGTGAAAATGATTGTTTCATTTTCAATTACGTAACAAAATATTGCCTTTTTTTCTACCATTTGTGTTTGAAGCTTGAAAATATGCACGTTTGTCAAAGTCTGAAACTTAATTTTAATGACGATTTTCGTGACGTTAGGGGGTCAGATTATCTGTTTAAACTATATGAATCTAGCATCTTGTTTTTCGTGAGAGCATTGTCGTGTTCTGATTGATTTAAATACGTTACTATACTACAAACGGCTCTTAGGAGTGTGTCGTTTTATTTGTGCTGAAAAATTTTAACGAAGAAACTGGTCTTTCTAAAAGCTCTCACCATTCACTTTGGATGGTTTTGTTTTGCAATTCGAGATCAAAATGGTTATATATACATATGTCTAAATTGAACTTTTCCATATAATTTATCTTTTACTCTCTTTACTAGCTGCAGTTTTTGGTAGCACTGTGCGCAAACACCTGTGCAAACAGTGTTAGAAGAGTTATGACAAAGCTGGGAACAAATAATCTATGGTCCCAATATAGTTTAAAAGGCAGAAAGTCAAAGCGACCATTTCAACACCTTGCCCTCTGCAAAGTTATAACAAGTAAGCAAAATTAGACGATAATGATTGCTGCAGCAGTACCATGTTTTGTCTCTTTTTTCTCGTTCATGAATTGGAAAAACAGCCATTTATGTTGCTCCTGTTATAAGGAATATTGTTGCAAGTTTTAAAGCTAATACATTAGACTGTTTTGCATATGTCACTATAATGAATTGTTGTTTATCATTCATCTTACGAAAATGATTTAGTGTTTTATCTATGCAATTTATTTAAAGTATGTCTTTTCTGTTTCATTTCACTTGTTAGAAGCCAGCCTCAGAGCTCATAAAGGATGCAGCGAGGCCAACGTTGAAGAGCAAATTGCCGAATTTTTAAAATATGCTCCAGGAAGGCAAGGTGGTTCCAGATTTAAGGTAACATGTCATTATCATCATAGATTGCTGGGTAAAGTATTTCGATGCCATTTTTTCTTTGTTTGATTTTCTCAACTTAGACAGGGAAAACTCAACTTATTTTACTTCGTAATCTCATAGTTAGCATATTTGTATTTTCTTGTCTGTGTAAGTTGAGAAAAATACACAATACATTGGCATGTGCACTTAAAGAAAGTGAGCATGTGTCTTTCATTGTCCTTCAAATATAAGTAAAGCTAGGTATCAAAATAGCAAATAATGTGATAATAACAATGGAGTTCTTAAAAGAACTGTTTACAAAATAACCAAACAATTCAAAGGAACCGTTATTTACAGTTAGAAAGAGAAATGCACTGTTTCATTATATTAAAATAATGAATGGACAATGTATTGATTAATATTAGATTTGTGCAAGTTTTAAATTTTGTTAACTCAAACTGCATGATTAGATTTATTATATACAATTTGCTTAGCGTGATATTAAACAATTATTGAGTGAAATAGTATATGAATTAAGACTTATGAAGGCCAAGGTTTGTTCAATCTACCAACGCTGAGGCAGAGAGAACACATTTATGCCTTGATAATTCTTTATATTACGTGAAAACCCAATTCAATAATTGTTTTATTATTTATATAAAAAAGACAGTGTTGGTTAAATGTGAAAAAGGTGCCGTAACGATTAAAGTTTTGTTCATTTGTTTTGTTTCTCGTGCGTATGAGATGACGTTGTAGCGCGAGATAATTTCTTATATCTGACGTACGTACGTAGTGGCATTCATATAAGTGGATTTATTCCATTGCTTTTAAGTGAATAAAACTAAAAAATACTTTGGTCTATATGTTTGTATAAATTAAATTAAGAAAACATACATACAGCAGACGATTCAGTTTTCCATTTAAATGGCATCTTTTACAGACAAATAAGTCAATGTTGTTGTAGGTGGTAAGACATATAAAATGATATATAGACTACCATTTTCTAATAATCATATATGTTAATTTCTTGCAGGTCCGAAAAGGCAACTTATTGGAATCGGCTTAATTAGCATTTTTATAAATATGTATACATATTAAAACACTCACAGCAAAACAGATGAATTAAAAGTTGATTATATGGAAATCAAACTTTAGTTCGTATCATTGAAAAAGCTCTTTTTATGATTTCACAAATAATGCATCATTAATTGTATGTTAAATGAACGTCGGATAAACGTTGTATGAACGTCTGATAAACGTCTTATGAACATCGGATAAACGTTGTATGAACGTTGCATAAACGTTGGGTTTAGGTTGAAAATACGTTACATCCCAACGTTTATCCTAACGTTGCAACCACGCTCCTACGGGTTCACAAAAAAACGTTCACTCAACGTTGGTCTCCGATGTTGAGTGCACGTTCAACGAACGTTGGTACAACGTTGAGACAACGTGATTTTGCTAGCTGGGAAGTCCTCCGAGCAATGATCAAGGATGGGACAGTATATACTTCAATGACGTTAGAAAACACAAGGCATCTTTTGTCCATCAATCCGTCTACATCACATACTACAATCTCAAATAGAACATGTTGCTCTTTAAGCAATGCTTCCATCAGCTCAACTTTTATGTCCATAAACAAGTCCCTGTCCTATTGGAATATTATTGGACTATGGAACTATGGCAGTTCAAAACGTTACTATCCTGGGTATTATATCTAATAAGATACGATTCCCACTGGTCAATCCGCCAATCCTAAAGACAAGCGAACTATAAATTACATGTGCATTAATAATATGCTGGTAAGAATAATATTCTTATTAAAGTATTCACAACAGCAAAAATCCCCACAAATTCTTAAAGCCATAATCAATTATTTAAGTAAACTGAATTAGTAAGTTAACATAGTTTTTCTTCTTATGCAGATGAATAAAACCACGCCAACATTGAGCAGCCAGATAACGTGTGTCAGTGTAGGTAGTGATGAATGAACTACAGAGAACAAGAACAGTCTTTACACAAACTAAAATATATAAGAAGTAAGATAACTTTTGTCAGTGTAGGTGATGATGAATGAACAACAGAGAACAAGAACAGTCTTTACACTATGTAAAATATATAAGTAATAAGATAACGTGTGTCAGTGTAGGTAGTGATGAATGAACTACAGAGAACAAGAACAGTCTTTACACTATGTAAAATATATAAGAAATAAGATAACGTGTGTCAGTGTAGGTAGTGATAAATGAACAACAGAAAACAAGAACAGTTCTTACACCACTTAAAATATATAAGGTCGGGACAAAACAGTTGATATTCTAGAGCAGTTAAGGAGCAGTTAAGCTTTTTCGATCAATGTTTCATGTCATGAATTTAAAAATAAAATTTATGAGGTGCAAGTCTAATGCAAAACTTTGCTCTGATGGTGTCATACTCATAAGATGGCTTCCCAAATTCAATAACGTAGGCACCTTACAGATTTACTACTACTATGTAACCATTATTCATTTTTTCCATCTCACATTTGAAAAGGAGATTAAATGGTGGAAATGTACAAAAATCATATATTTCAGTTTTCAAAGCACCCACTGTCACACAGCTATGGTCAGGACGCCAGAATGCTCAACACATATAAATCTAACTGGGGCTACTTGCTTCATCTACAGGAATTTACTACGCTTACCAAAAATGATATTTTCTTTAACTATGACTAAATTTATTCCATTGATTGATGGTGTAAAATTTTTGGCCTCTCTTATAGGCATAATCAATAAAACCAACCACAGGTTTTAGTGAAACACAAAAAATTTTAAGAGGTGTTATTTAGTCAAAACATAGTCAAAATGCAGACTATCTCTTCATTGCGAATGAATTATCTAAAGAGTGAATATAAAATAAGGAACACAGACACACGTAAGGTGTTTTATTGTAAATATTGTTCGTGCTATGAAGCAAGTTGAGAAAGTAAACGCTTTAAATGTAGAAAAATTCGATTCTAATGAAACAAAATGACAAAAGTACAAAACTGTACACATGATACAGTGTTGCCAGATAAAATATCTAATTATTCATGTTCTCTGACGTCAAAAGTTCACAAAAATTACCAAAAGTTCACAAAAATTACCAAAAGTTCATGTATCTACATTTTTAAAGTCGGAATGTGTCGAAATGTGTCGGAATAGCTCGGAGATTGTTTGTGATTGTTGAGCATACTCATAACATGACCAGAAATCACCAAAAACGATAAATAATCGATCGAAATCCAGAACAGCTCTATCAAATCACATTAATTAGCAAATTGAATAAATTTAAAGAGCAAAAGTTACAATAAACAAATATGAAGAACGAAACGAGATCAGGCTTAAAGATATTTTCCCAGCCTAACCAATGAAGGAGAGCTCAACCTGTATAAACTATATTATGCTTTTGGGTAAATGCTTCATTCATCGATACTAGGATCACTTTCAAGCCTTAAGTAAACTGTTAAGAGTCTATGTACCGTTTTTAATTGCTGTCAGTCGAGTACTCGTTCTTCTCGTCAAGTGGGGTGAAAACTTTACGCAACCACCAGACAACTTAACACCATTTTTTACCTTTATCAATGCCGGAAAGTTGCAGTTTTCAATCGATTTTTGCTCTTGGTCTCGATTGAACTGACTGACGAAAACACTCTTTCCACATCGACATTTTCATGAGGTAAGCAAAGCAAACTTTGCATGAAGTCACACGAAAGATCAGACTTTGCATTTCCAATGCCATCGTAATCTTTGCAAAGCAACCCCAAAATTCTTATGGTTCCATACCATCACTGTCAAAGCGTAAGGTGACATGAGAAAGCATACGCCACTAGTCATCAAGTGCTTGTTGTTGCGACTCGGATATAATATTTGGAAAAGCCATGGCAAGAGGAGCAAGAAAAGAAAACTTTGCACAACTCACGCCTGGATCTAAAAACTTGAAGCATCTCAATGATCGGATCTCCTATTGGAAATTGACTCCTTATTTGAGAAGCAGCTTCAATGTAAAATTCTTGCACACACTTAAGAAAATGTTGCACGTCTGTTGGTCGTTGCTTGTACTCATCTTTTGTCAAACAAAGAGCAATCCGAGCTCCCATATACATTTTTGACAATGGCATGAAATTCACTTTACTGGCTGGATCGATGTCTTTCAATGGTAACCCTTTCTAGTAGGCTTCGTTTAAGTAGCAGCTTTCTCTGTAAATAACACTCAAACCATTGTGCAGTCAGTGGACAGAAGATTTCGAACTCTGGAACATAGCATTTAGCTCTGTGAACTTGGGAAGCACAAATCCATAAAGCTGATAAAGCTGACCATACGCAATTCAGCTTCCTGAAATTTCCATCTATTAGGCCGGAACGATGAGCAAACATGGAATTATTTCAATTCAGGGTAGGATTAACAAGAACTTGACTTTTTCCTTGTGATGCGTGGTTTTGCTATGTTTTTTTTAAGGCTGTTATAACTGCTGTGAGCTCTCTTTTAAAAGCACTGCAGTACGCTTTGCTCGGATTTTTGGCAACAGGGTGAAGCCAACCCTTGAACAAATGATCTTTTTCCCAAGCATGACGGTATGTTTGCCCGTATTTAACGGTTTGCTTGCTTGTTGGTCTAGTGTAGACAATCTACAGAATTAAGATTGTGATCATGAATTTCAACTATTCTTTTTGTATTAGATTGAGCTATATGTTGTCCTTTGTGAGTAAAATCGGCTGTATATTTTACCTTAGCTTTTTTAGGATTTGGAGCTTCACCTTTTTCATTATCATTTACGGATGAACAACCATCATCAGCATCGCTATCGCTTTCCAACATGTTCATAGCGACGTTGCTTTTTGATCCTTCGACATTTTTGTTAAATAAAAACTCAAAACAGGACAAAGTAGCGGGAAAAACACAGCAAATTAATTTTAGTTTAACATAATTTATGTAATATGCAAATAATTTAACTTTTGACATATTATTACTTATTACAAGAAGTAAACAATTTACTATTTTTATTACTGAATCATTCTACTTATTATTTTCTATCTTAAAGCAATGACAACACAAGGTTCATGAAATCCTACAGAGAATTTTGAAAAGTTCACAAAAAGCTCACAAATTTTTCATGTTCATGAAAAGTTCATGAAGAGATCAAAAAGTTCACAAATCTATGAACTTTGTTCACAATCTGGCAACACTGATATGATATGACCAAACGTACATTTGAGCCCGTGTTACAAAGTAAACATGGAAACATACTTCATAACAATGTCACGGTATAGAGAACAGGGTAGGGCCACTCCACTGAGTTTTTTCGTGCCACGCATATCTCATTACGCATGTGATTACAATATTGGCAGCCAGTAAATTGCATTTTATGACCAATAGAATTGACAATATGGCAAACGGCAGCCAGTAAACTAATTAAATATACAGCAGCCAATTGCACAGCGAAGTGGCCCTACTGTTGTATATTCCTTTACTGTAGATATGCTGACCAGAAGCAAACAAGAAAAAACTTATATAAACACTATTGAGTGCTTTACAACAAATAGCATTTTGTATAGACAACTGAAAATTAAGTGAAAGAGCTTATAGAGTTGTTTGCAACATGTTTAGGTCGGGTTGCGTTTGCCTAAGTATAAAGCTAATTTAAGATTGATAAAGAATTGAGATATTTTCAGTGTTTAAGATAGAAAAGCAGGAGCGAGTGTATTTAGATTTTTTGTTCATTTAACTATTAATTTAATGAACATCGTATCATCTTTAATGAACGGAAGATAGCTTAAACTCTCTATCGACGAAATTAGAAGTGGCAATCCAAATAGATTCAAATCAGACTCTGGTCACTGAAATAAGGAACTTCGAGGATCTGAATGAAAAGCATCAATCATGTGATCACAATTTCCTTGAGCCATTAACATCTTGTGATCTTCTTTTGAAATGACTATGTTTGTAGAGCATCGTAATCACCTAGAAATAATATTATACACAATATAAATTTTTATAATAATATGATAAAAGTCTTAATAAATCCCAAGGCATACCTTTCCCTTCTATCGTCATTTATTTTCGTACATAATCAAAAAAACTAAATAGTATCGCATCTCACAAACAATTGTAAGCTTTAGTCTGCTTTTTCGGTGAATTGAAAATAAAAATCTTTGGCTTTATACTCTTCATATCATGTTCAACATTATTTAACAACTTGTTCCAAATCTAAGCATGTAACTTGTAATCCCATTCATTCCAAAAAAGAATGAAAGGACAATGCATTCTGTACACTTAGATATTATGCCTCTGTAGCAATCAAATTACATGATCTCAATTATAACGCAATTTTTGCCATCATCTACATGGTATCAAACATTCTTGGACAGCCTATTTTATAACTACAAAAATCCACTTCCAATTTTTGAGGAAGCTTAAGGAGAAACTATTAAAAATAGCTTTACCTTTCATGATAACAAAAAACAAAGATAAACGAGTTCCATTTCCCCAACTATCACCATTCATATAGATCTTAGCACACATCTTGTAACCATAATGAGAACAGTAAAATGGTGGACTGTAAAAGGCATTCTTAACACCATTAATGGCGTCCTGTCTCTTCTTTTTGAAGTTATCTACTTTTCCAAAGTAACGTACCGTTTTTCGTGTATGGCCTGATTTGATCCCAGTAAGCGCTCTCTCGTTGCGCTTCTCGAGGTTCGTAATGTTCACCATGTTTCACTATTGATCTGTCTATTTGATCTAAACGCTCCTGAAACCGTTGTATAGTGGAAAATGTCTCTCGCCTGTCGCTCAAGTACAATTCTTTCACGCAACAAGGAAACCTCTGGGAAACGGGGTGCAGGCGGATCTAGGATATTTCAAACATCAGTCATAACGTCGAAGGCGCCCGCACCTGGGGGTCTGAGGCATTCTCCCTGAGAAATTTTGAATTTCAGAGCCTTGAAAATACCTATTTTCAGCGTTTTAGAGCAATACAAAATGTATGTGGGCATCGTTTTTGCGTAAAAACAACATTTTGTTTACGTTTTTCAAAAAAAAAATGAAATGAACAATACTTGAATGTTTTGCCAAATATTTAGCTCATTATCATGCCAAATATGGCTCATTAGTATGTCTAGAAACGTAAAATTTATTTTACAATAATGCTATCAAAAACAGATATAGTCTTTAAAAATTTCTACCAAGTTGTCAGGCATAGACCCCCTAGAGACCCCATTCAAACCTCTATGTAATGAGTTTAGTTGTTAGAAATTCAATTACAAGTGACAGTTCATAGATAGAAAAGCGCACTGACTTCAAACCATGCAAGTTTATTGTAACCCTTTTACCCATCTCCACACAGTGTTAGCAAATTCACCTTTGAGAAAAACTCAAAATTTTTTTCTACAAGGTTGCAAAAATTATCAGAGTGAAATTTGCAGTTAAGGACAGCTTAATGCCATAAATGTTTATTAGGCATTTCACTAGACTATTATCTCCTGTTAGTATACAAGGTGTGCTATAGCAATCACTAGTAGCATTGTATTTGCAAATACAAACAGAATGTAACCAACATGTCTTTAATTATATAATTACATGAATGTTAAAATTGGTTCATGTGTCATGCTTACTGGTTATGATAAATATCTTTTCATATGATCAAAGCTTGTTTAAATGTAAATCAGAAATAATTTAGTTTAGAAATTATAATGATCATCAGAAAATTAATTTAGTGATCATGAAAATATTCTTTTGCTGTTTTGCCAAATTTCGTTTATCTGCATACGAAAGACATTTTACTTTATAGAAAATGCTTTTCATACATCAATAGCCCTTTGGAATTTATGGCAAACAATCTGGTATGAGCCGAGATTAACACACCTTTACATCTCTACATGAAGTGTTCAGTTAGAAGGGACAATATGTGACATGGGACAACATTCCATGTATGAAATACTCTAGGTTTAATACCATTCCAGTCAAATTGTCAAAATAAAAGCTTCATGGATCGGAAAGACACATAATCACAGGTTATAGTAAACAGCTTCATGTAATCAATGTTAGTTTTCAATCTAAACAATATGTAGTATAACTGTCCAATGATTGAATGATCAATGATCATAAACTGAAACCCCAAACATTTGTTTATGATAAAGTAATAATAGTATGGCGCCATATTAGCACAGATTTTTGTCCATTGAAATATATTTTTGCAGGAATTTAGGATTTCGCTGCCGTATAACGGCCACGATTCCCCAAGCACTAAAGAAATCATAGCTAAAGTCCTTCGTCAACAACAATTTTAGAAGCATCGATCTGCTTACCATACGCCATATTGACATAAATCGCATCACATACTCGCATAATTGACTTTGATATATTACATTCATGCATACACTTCATTTGTCCTTTACTTACGATTTTGATGTAAATTTCTGCTGATAAAACTCAAAACAATTGCTTTTTGAACATCAATGACTGAAATGTCGCTCGCGAGATCGTCTTTGCCAAGCATTTAAAATTTATCCATAAATTTCCACCTCTTGAAAAAATTCACATTTTGGACAGCAGCATCATGTCAATAGATGAATTTGTAAAAGATTTCCTAAATTCCATCTGATTGTAGTTTAGTTTTTATCATGCTTATAAAAATTACTATAAACGATCGAACATTCAATTCAGACAGAGTTGACTTGTTAGCCTTCAGCCTATCCGCTTCCAAACCAATACAATAAAGCAAAATCTCAAATGAACCAATTGTAAGATAGCAATTGACTCCCTTATACGTCCGGCCACCCTTATTATAAGTCGAGACCATTCCAGACTGTCCACTGATTGGCTATTGACCAATAAAAGGTTTTTGACGTTCATAGACTCCTTTATCCGTCGAACCAGAATATGCCACCCCGCTTATCAGTCGGTTATTCCAGGTCAGTTAAAATTCAACTGATCTGTTACCAACGAGATATTCGTTGGATTAGTCATTAGTTTCAATAATAAATAATGCAATTTTATCACGAAGTAAATACGATAAGAAAATAAGAATAATTAATGAATTTTCAATTAATATGAATAGGTAATTTTTGAATTTCAAACATCAGTCGCGCGACGGATTTGACATACTCTAGATCCGCCCCTGACTGGGTGTTATAACTATTGCTACCACCACGACCCTCGAGACACTCAATTCTTCTTTCCAGACTTGTAAGTTTGCCATCTAACATCACAAATTTTTCAAAGTAATATGCACGAACAGCAGTGACTTGCTCAACAAGTCTTCGCAATGGAGTGGTAAACTCTGGACGTAGCGACGAAGTTACAAGCTGTGTAACAAAATGCCAACATATCGTAACAAGAGGCTCACGTGATTAATTGAGTGTCATTCATATGCTGTCTGATCCTTTTCGTTTTAAAGTCTGTGAAGTGAGAAAAAGACACTACCAGCACATTCTTTTAACAAAATATTTGATGCTATTTACGGGTTATTTCATTCCAATCTTTATGTATGACTAAGACATTATGTATCATTAATAAATCTTTTTTCTCAACTTATATTTTATTTATATGAAAAGTAAACGAGAAGTTTCTTTTTTTGGCACGTCTGAGTTTCTCTCGGTCCCCCAGTCTCCATATACGTATAAAGTAAGGAGTACAGTACGTTGATGGGTGACATAATTTATATTTACTGCAATCTTTTATCGGGAAAGCTCTAGCTCCATAGCTTAAACCATCAAGTATCTTAATAATCATATGTTCTGAATTTATAAATTTGTAAATGGGTGAATTTATAAATGTGTACTTCATGTAAACCTGATGCAGCTGCATTTAACTACAAAGTCAACGTTTTTAACATTTCTTGTTTAAATTTTAAAACTTCTAAGCATTTTTATACTATACTATCATTTCAAGAGTTTTTGACGTAAAATTTTTTAATGCAAAGAACAATTGCAAGATTGTCGGTGGGAGCTACTACGCATCTACTACTGCTGACATGAAATTATAAATCAGTCCAAACATTCTTACTTTATCATGGTTGCATCCAACTACTTGGAATTCATATTTCGTCGGCACTTCATCACAAGTCGTACTTTCATGATGTTCAGTATCTTTCCTTGGTATCATTTGAATACAATATTTACAAACCACTCGATAATTTTCACACATTATTTCTTCGTGCTTCTATATGTTAAAAGAAAATAAAAGAAACATTTTTGTGCACAGATTTGCATCGGATGATCAACAAAGGAAAGTTCCATCTGATATATAAAATAGCGTTGAAGACAGAGGTTTATGCATTATAATGTGAGGTGAAAAGGTTCAATTATTTTTCCGGTTCTCATGGTAAAATGTTTTCTAGAAATATTCTGTCTTGAATATTGCTTCGTACTTAACTCAATGTTACTTTGATCAGTGAACAAAAATTCTTCGTACCTTAGGTGAAGCATACGGGACATCTTTACTACAATATTCACATTTCACATTTCGATATTCACATTCATTCTTCAAATGTTCATCAAGAAGAGAGCGAGGTAACTGAATGTAACACTGTTTATGTACGCAGCTGATGAGCACATGCTCACAAACTTAAGAATGACCCTGACAAAAAAGAAACTTTAGTAAGTAATAAGGTTATGCTTTTTCGATAAATTTCTCAGCTCAACTCACTTCCAATTCTTCATAGACACCAAACGATTTGCATTGTTCAGAAGGACAATGTAAACGAATATTTTTCAATTCACGCTTTGCGAAATTGTCCGGGAAAGCCTGTATAGGTTTTATAGAAAGTCAACACAGTTCAAAAAGTAAGTTTTACATTAGTACATAAAGAGATGTATAGGCTAGTTTCTTCGTAATAAATAAAAGGCAAGTGAATTTTCGTTTAAAACCTTCCGAAGCAAAAATTGATACAGCTCTATGGAAATTTCCCGCGTCAAAACTATGGAATATTTTCACCTACGTTTTTTTTATTAATTTTTCTTGACCTTCGAGACATTTTGGATCAGGATCTCTGCAGATTGAGCAAATATGAAAGCATTTATCAAATGAAAAGAATAAAAAATTGAGGGTAGGTGAAGAGACCTCAAAGGATGATTATCGGTTAGCTGATGAACTTAGCCACAATGACGAAACAAAACACAACCTACATCTTTTATGCAATAACTTTACTAACTTTTCTTAATGTGCCATAGGTCAAAATAATGTGTTATTGATTCAGATTCTCACGCATGTGCTTCTGTATTGATTTGTGGCAGTCTGTCACCATGGTAGAAATATCAAGTCTACAGTTCAGCATGTAATCTATACATCTTTGAAAACAGATGTATTCCATGGCTGGACTACTTCCTGCCTCGTTTCTCTAAAATAATAATTGTCATTTAAACAGAAAAATATTTACATGTGTCCTAATTTACAAAGAGTTAACAAAGTGGTATCCCTGCCTTCAGAGCTATTCCTATACCCACATATCTCAAAATGTAGAAGAGACTATTGCCTAGATAACATTGTGCTCAAAACATAGGTTGAAAATATGAGAAAGCATACTTCCCATAAAACTCATGAACAAAATCCCACCATCATACATTAGCCATAAAAGTAGGTGGGGTAAATATAGCCACCCTCAATGTGTCATAAGTAGGTAATAATAAGACATACTTGAATTAGTTCAAAATGGAGAACCATAAGACAGGAGAAAATGCAATATTGTGTAAGCACATATTTTGCAGAATGGCCCATGCTGTCACAGTCCATCCCTGCTATGACCACTGTTTTCTTCTGCTTCTTAATTGTTTCCAACATGACCAGCGAATATTTCCTCCAATGGATCCTGACCATTGGGAAAAGCAATTCCTGATAAAGAAATATCAAATGAATATAAAAAAACACAACTTCAAACCTTGGGAATCTGGAAAATCAAAACAACCCATTTACACTTTGATGTTTGAAGAATGTAGTCAAAGATATGCCTTGAAGACCCATGTGTGTGAATACTCAAAGTAACTTGCTAGCAGAAGCTCCAGACAATAAAATGTTAAATGAGAGGAGAAAGTTTCCCATTGGAATACGGGAACCTGGCAGGAATGATTGTCACTTCCAGTTGTGCTCTCTATTTTTACAACTAAGGTTACCACACGACATGCTTGTATCAGCCATAGTACCAACTTTTGATACTTCAACTATTGCGTTATCAGTACCACATGATGGGCATACTTTAAACAGGTTAAACAGCTGTGGCAAGGTAACAATAAACTTTAGTTATTTCCTGAGGTTGCTTTCTTCTTTGTTCACCCTGATTGTTAGAACAATACATGTATATATTATATTTTGTCTGTTGAGAGACACAAGTAAAATGATTGATAACACTGGAAGAATAATAATGCATATGTACAGCACAATCATACCTTTTTGACTGGTTTATTTCATCTTCAGATTCTAGCTCTTCACTTTGGGAAGAATCTGTTTCAATGTCATAGTTGTCAGAACCTATGGACCATATTTATATGTTAATAAAACTTGTGGTATATAATTTCAGCTATTAGCATTGAAATCAAACTTCACCTTCATTTTCCATCTCACTACCAATGTCAAAATCCATATCCATGTTATCATCATCACTACCATCCTGCTTTTCTTCCTCATTCTGATTGCCAACCTTGACACATTTTACTACTGTTCCACCAGTTTACGAAATTTTTTTTTTCTATGAAATCATGATATACACAAGTGTTACAATACTCATGTTTTAGTAATTTAATTGCAGCCATGAATTTATTTAAATGACAAAGAGACACCACAAGAATATATGCTCTCGAAGAAACAAAATTGAATGTAATGAAACAATTTACTTTCAGTAAGTTGTTGGATAATAGCATTCTTGTTTTCTATCGTTCTCTTCAATTACCTCATGTTTTCTTTGTATTGAACACATTGTTGCATATTCTTCAGTTTGGCAAAACCCATTCTGAACCTACAAAAAGATATAATCTTAGATCTTACAATCTACTAGTGTAAAAGTCTTTTGAATAAATTATTTGAATAAATTCAATACCTGTACTTCTGCTTGTACTGCAATTGTTTGAACTTGCAAGACATCATCAACAAATTCAACATCAGTATGACTGTCTTCCAAAGAGGTTGCACTTTCAGCTCCAAAAGTGTCTTGACTAGAAGAGCAAGGATCTGCTTCTGTGCTAGACAAAATATCTCTAACAACCTACAACAAAATACAATATGGTATCAACTGGAAAAATTAAATGTCCATCACAAAATCTTTGACGAATTCAAAACAAGCTTCATTCTTCGAAGTTATCAGTCTCACGCGGAATACATATAGGATTCAAAACAAAAATCTTTACCTGTCTACGTTCTTTTCAGAAGGCGCACTTTCTTTCATCTGTCTTTCTGAGAGATGAACAGAAGGAAAAGCAAACACATCAACTTCGACAAACACCAGTCTTCTTGTTTTCCCTTGCAAACTAGTATACCGTCTGGTAAAATCTTCAGGTTTGAAGTGCAGCGAGCAAATGCTCGACATCTTTCATATTGGGCATTTTGCTAGTTTTAAAGCGACAAAATCCAGCCACTTTTTCCTCCTTTCCTTTTTATAGTATCTTCTGATCCAAAAGAATGCGGTGAGAAGTCCTATGCCCTTTCCGCAAGGAACGCTAGAACAGCCAGCAACTACAGCGATTAGGCATATCAAAGTATATCACTGTATTTTAATGCACGCTTACTGAAATGTTACTTACATGACGTCACGCTTTCCTCAAATGACGCGCAGTTCCAGTCAATTGCCGGAAAACTGACTCAAATAGCCAGTTTTTATGATTTTGGTGAGTGTAGCAGTAAACGTGTTTATATAACGTATTGTACAACAAATAATTGCTCCCAATCGCAAGAAATGCTGTTCCAAGCTCTGATTTCAAAATTTTACGGAAACATTGAGACTCAAATGTTGACTTGTATTATATTGCATGTTGCTATATATTCAGTCAAGCGGAACTAAACAAATTAGCACACCACTGTATTTGTTAGAACAAATACAGACGTTAAGAAAAACGTTCTCTGAACAACATCTAAGACACTTCAGAAAACGTTTTAAAACACAATCAGAAAAAATGGTTTTCAGTGAAAAACCTAAAAGTCTCAAGAAATCTAAATGACGTTACTTTCCTTGTCGCGATTCTTGTGAGCACATGCATTTATGAGGCTCAGGTGCAATCTAAGCTAAAACGTTCAAAAATGCAGATGTTAAACACTTACTTAGTGATATAACTAAAATCAATATTTAAAAATTGAGCGAATTTGGTGTAAATGATATTAAATATACAATTTTATTTCAATTATGTTCATTTACCAACTTCATTTAGCCCTATTTACCCATTTCAGTTTCCATTCTAATGTACGCATTGCGTACCTCTTTTTTATATTATGTTACTTATAAATCTTGCGTTAACACATGCAACATTTTTGAATGGAGAATACGAAGCGTGAGTTTTCTACAGTAAATTTCATTCAACCATTTTCTTGATAAATTCATAAACGCAAGGTAAATGTTCGTAATCTTTAAAAATAAGCTGCAACCGAGCAAAGCTGTAAGAAACTGTGATCAACATTGAACTTTTATAAGTTATAAATGCTTAATATTTCTTCATATATCTTTATCATTCATTGGAAAAATATACCATGTTTACTTTTTCTGCCAATCTTTAACATTAAAACGAACCATTTTGACCGTCTGACAATCTTCGGAAGAAAAAATTTCTGAATTATTTTAAGAATTGATGATCTGTTTGATTTGGTCTAAACAGCTTTAATTTATAAAAAATGTCACACACATCTTTTAGGAGCGGTACAATTTAGTCTTTGGGTTCGATTCTCAATACACTGTTTTTGTGTCAGAAATGCCCATATTATAGTTGAAGTTTTTGAATAATTTCTGACGTAAACATCTCAACTTGTATTTTGTAATAAGGAAGGCATTTATGGTTATGCATATATTTAAAATAATTATGTTCTCAGTTATGATTTTATTGGCAAATGTGTTTGGTCCAGTCTAAAAACGAATTTTTTTGAAATTCATTTACTCGGAAGAAGTCTTTAACGTAAAGAAGATGATATTTTTCTTTTTACGTAGTTTATGTGTAGAAAAGAATAGCCCTTTTTCATTACATATAATAGTACATACGAATGCTTCAAAAAATAGTACATACGAATGCTTCAATTTGATTAAATTTAATTTTGGCTTTCTAAAAATTATCATAATGGTTATTGATACTTCCACCCAATTTTGGGGGTAAATGGGATTATAATTTACATTCGTTTCTCTCAAGTGAAAGGTGTCCTCTAGCTGGTGGATAGTGAATTTCAGCAGGTGTTTTATCAGTTTTATCTATCGCTTCATAAGTTATAAAGCATACATATTTACTAAGTGGTTAAAATATCCCTTACAATTCAGCCCGATGTTATATTTGGAAATGTAAAACTACTTTTGACGTTTAAAGTGCCTATGACATGAATTTTTTTATGTTTGTAATCATCAGAACTTTTGAGATGACAGTGTACTGTCTAAAACAGTTAATGCATATCACTTTTCCTTCGCGAGATATTGAATTTTTTGTTATTTCTATTTCATCCAACTTGTGACGTCATATTGCATAATGAGTTCTAAAAATGTCTCAAATACTTTTCATTTTCCTGACAACTTTAGGTTGATACTAATAGGCAGCATTTTATATCATCAAACACGTCACAACAAATGAAACTATGTCCTTGTGAAGTAAAGTATCGTTAAATATACCTAATACTCCTAGCTCTCATTATGCAATGTGACGTCACAAGTTAGATAAGTCGGACATAGCATAGTCCTCAATATCTCAAGAGTTAAAAGTGATATGCATAAACTGTTTTAAAAAGTACACTGTCATTGCAAACATAAGAATTTTCGTGTCATAGGTCCTTAAAAAAAGCATACTATTTGGTTTGTAAACGAATACAAAATAATTTATAGTCTTGTGAAGATTGATGAAGATTAGTTACTATTACAAGCCAGTCCTCGCTTCCAAAGGCAATCACGTTTGTACTATCCAGAAAATCTAGCTGTCATATGTTACAACTCATTGTAAAATAAGAACGTTTCTAAAATCTTAAATAAATAGATGCAGTACCCTCTAGAATAAATCCAAAATGTCAGTCTTCGTCAATTCTAGGAACATTTTTCGCACTTATTATACATTATGTAATCCGCGTTGTTTTTAATTTTTGCAACGTTGTGTTTAAAAGGCTGCAGTAACTAGAGAAAGCTGTAGCATTGTTCTTTGTCATTTAGAAGTTATTTATGTACTTTTGTTGTTATAGTATGCTCTTTGCGAAGTTAATTCAATAAATTAAAGCCCAAAAGTTCAAAATTTATGTAAATGATTTACAAAACTTTAAACTAAAACTGTCACACAACTATTACTGAATGCTTTAATGTGACATTAATGTGTGGATACCTACCAGATGATATGGGATCTGAGATGATAAAATCAACATAAAATTTTGCACTATTTTCTATCTGTGGATTAAACACAAGGTCTTCCAGCAGTTATAAGATTACTTTGAAACTTTACTCAGTCAATGTGAGTGTGAGAGAGTTTTTAGAATATAGGCAATAGAGAGCGCCGTAGTTAACCTTACGTGTATTTAAGTGTATATTCCATATTCATTTAAGAAATCCTAAATACATAGCACTTGCATTTTAGTTGTATGGATTTAGGCACGAAATAATTGTCATGGTTACAGCGCATGAAATAAGCAAAATATCAGAAAATGATAACAACTATGAATATTTTTCTATAAAACTAATTAAAATATTATTGTGTCCATATACAAATTATTAGACGAAATGCTGTCACTCACTCAATCTCATGAAAATGTTATTTAATTCAACTATTTTATATTGATCAGCTACGTAATTAATGCGAGATAGTAAAACACAAAAGATTCTACTTAAGGAATTAAGCACAACTTCTGATGGTCAGGTTTATAAGATAAGAAGCTCCCAAGAGACCAAAACACCAAGGCCAGAATTTTAGTAATTATAATAATTTGAGAAATACAATTTTTTATCGTATACGAGTTCAGTATATTGGATAAATGTAGAGCAAAATTTTCAGTGCAGCCAAACATAAAAGTTAACTTTTAATGTCATGTTCGCATTCGGTCTTTTCCAAAACAATTTACAGTAAAAATTAAATAATCAGGTATATTAAAATGTATCAATGAATACCACAAGCTATAGATTCAGCAGAAATGTGGTAAAATATCATCTAAATACGTCGTGGAATCTGTTTTTCTTTATATCTATAAAATGAGATCTCTACAGTATCAATGATTTCTTAATTGCTACATTTTTACCCCCAACAGGTTCTGTTGTATCTGAATTGTTTATTAATGTAATTCGCTTTCATTAAAATTAAAAAATTTCTTGAGTTCTGGTTTGTTTTTCAATTCTTCATTTGACCTGACAGCAGCATGTACCCAAACAGGGAGATTAGGAAATGTTCGGAGAAAATACGCCCTGTAATCGCCAATCTTATAAAATGGTTCTGGTTGTGGTAGAGGTCGTGGTCGATCGTTCCAATGCTGGTCAATATTTCGAATGAATCTTAAGCATTCTGGCCATGAAGATTTATAACGGACTTTATTGATTTTTCCATTTTCTCGTACGCGAAAATAATCATAGACATTCCAATCCATTTGACTTTTCCAATATACGGATTCGCTATTCAATTTTTGAACGACACTTGACTGGGGATCATTTGTCTTAATCTGTTGAAGGTTCCCAACTTTACATAACATTTGAAACTTCTCATCATCTGACATGAGAAACGGGTGTTTTAATGCTTCGTTAGAATATGGTCTGTCTTCAGGTTTTAGATTTAACATCCACGACAGAAGGTCCTTTAGTGTTTCATCCTCGATTTCATCCAAACCAACAGGGTTTCCATTTAACATGTTGATCAGTCTATATAGTTTAGTTCCAAAAGGATGTTTCCTTTTGTTGCAACATAATAAGCTACCATCCCTGCATTCTAAAATAATAAAAAGCGTTAGATCAAAATGCAATTTCACAACATTGAGTTTCTCTACAACTTACAAATATTTACATTCCTACACTTACATATACATCAGACCTTCTACTGTAACGGGCTTTATTTACTGAATCACCATCTTCGCAATAAGATTCAGGAGCTATCCAATGTGCAATTCTTAAGGAAGTACTGCTTTTATATGTTGAAGGGTAATTCTTCATTATTTGACTTATGCCAAAGTCAGCTATCAGAAATTTGCTTTTTGAGTCTCGCAGAACATTGGAAGGCTTCAAATCCCGATGTAGAATACAATTTGGGCCGCTATGAAGATCAGCTAATCCTTTTAAAATTTGTCTAAGAATATCAGGAAGAGCTTGTTGAAGATCATGCAAAGTAGAAGACTTAACAAAACTCTCCAATGATTCTTCACATAAGTCTAATATCAAATAAACATATTCTGTTCCAGTCTCTTCTTCTAAGTAGAAATAATTCACAACATATTTCGACTTCTTTGCATTGAATTCATTTAAAATTTTCTTTTCGTGATGTGCAAGCTGGATAAATTGATGTCGATGTATTTGTTTCACTGCTTTACCGTAACCATCCTTACCCAGTCCAAGAAAAACAAGGGTTGTATCACTTCCTTCACCAATGCAAAATTCTTCTGAGAATATTACACGCACATTGCCCACCACTTTAACCTCAACACTGGGATTGCGTCCATATTCAATCAACTTTAAAAGCAATTCTCTATGTTTCGTTGATTCCTCAATGTATTTCCACTCTTCTAGATAAAAATATTACATTCAAGGGTTAAAGAAACAAAATAAATATAACAAAATAGCTTAAACTTCCCCAATTAGGAAAGGATACTGATACGTATTAACAATTATTACGATTTTAAGAACGTATTAACAATTATGAGACATATCATAAATTTTTTAACTGGTAGCATTCGAGGTTAGCTTATACCAAACAATTAATCACAAAAAACTTCTCTCTGCAGTAATTTAATGAATTTTTGTTAAGGAGTAACCTTGCGTTTTTTGAAAATATCAAATTAAAATTTAGAGAGCATATATTTTTTAGAGTCTAAAAAATTTTCTTATACCAAAAGATTCACAAAATAGCTTCATTCAATTTTTCTTTCTATTCTTGACACTCGTCTTTTAGATAGACTATCTCATATTTGTTGCCAAACATTAGCATTGAAGTTGAATCTCTACAATTATTCTCTCAATCCTGGTTTGAACATCTTAAAGTGCCAATGAAGCAAAAATTTTCCTAGTTAAATTATGTCTATATTGATCAGAACTTTTGAAATGACAGAGTGCTTTCTGAAACCTTTTCTGCATGACTTTTTTCATTATAAAAATACTGAAGTCCTTGCAATTAGCATTTTATCTAACTTGTGACATCATATTGCATGCAAAATGAGTCCCTGCTATGTTTCAAATACCCTTTATTTTCCTAACAACTTTAGGTTGATAATGGTACGCAGTATTTTATATCATTAACACATCACAAAGAAAGAAACTCCGCCATGTTAAAATAATGTATCAGCTAATTTATCTAATACATCTTGTTCTCATTATCCTGTGTGATATCAGATAAATCAGACATAATAAAAACTTCAATATATCGAAAATGAAAAGTGATATGCATAAACTAGTAAAGAAAGTCCATCATCATATTAAAATGTCTGTTCAATGAAAGTAATGGTTGCTAAATTTTCGTTTCATAGGCATTTTATGCTTTAACTCTATATTATCTGACACGTACTGTTTCTCTTATTCATTGGCAAAGTGAACCTCGTTATCTACATTTCTGCAAATTCAAACTCTACCTCATGCTTTTTCTTTTTTCCGTGGAACATTGTTAGTATTAAAATAGAGATTTTACTGTGGTGACAAATCTGAAAATCGTTTTGAAGATGGCAAATACCATGGTAAATTACTTTTATGGTTCCCCATAGTATTTGCGTTCTTCAAAACGATTGCTAGTATTGTTTTCCCTTCGCCGAATTGAAAATGGTTATTTGCAGTTTTCAATTATTTTATTAAGCATATGATGATTTATTTGCAAGAAGCAATTTGTCTGTCATGTGTCTATTGTGTCAGGGTTTTCGTTATCGAGAAAATTTCCATTTTGAGGAAATTTTTGCCCAGGGAGAAAAGGAATCATAAAATACAATAAATTTTTCACTCCACGAAAAAAGTAAGCGATTTGAATCCTCATCATAATTTTTAGTCCTTTTGATAAAATTCTTGTCTGTTTTAGAAACTTATGAAATTGAAAAGATAAGCAACAAGAACGATGCAACCAAATGATCGAAAATCAGACTTCAAATGTTGTAACATCTTTTTTGTATATGGATGCATTTTATGTACTAAGCAGAACATTTTAATTATCTTTCGCCAACACAATCACCTTTCAAAAATTTGAAAAAGTTTGACGCACAATACAACGCTCCTTTGTAGCTCTCTTATAAATAGATTTAAAGACAGCAATTAAACAAATCATTTACATGCTTGCAAATACAAATTTTCATATCAATTTTGTATCTATCCATCTGCCTGTCAATTTATTGATCTATTTGTCTATTTGAATTATGGACCTCTATACAGTGGTCCGTGCTACAATATCTGAGAAAACATGATACAGACGTTGAATTCTGTAAGCGATATTTCAGCCGTAGTGTTATTCTTGCTCAATCTTGTGGTTTAAGTCGTAAGTGGCTTGGTCTGATTCACGTGCACTTTTAAATAGAGGTCATCAAGCCAGTTTACAATCATCAATTAAGACACAGTTTGAATCATAAATGAGATTTTTGGATTCACTTGCTCTTCTAATATATTCCAAATAATTATATTTACTTGTTTTAAGATTAGTGGGAGTAATTTATTAAAATCAATGAATAAAGTCGTTGTTTTAATGTTTTGCGATTAGTAACGTTATTTGCTTATCTATTTTGGGAAATTTTCTAGTGGAAAAAAATGATACAGAAACTTATGCTCTATGCAACTTTCAAAATTCAATTCTAAACTAGAAAATGATTTTGTGGACTTTTGAATGATGTTCACACTGAAGTGGTAATCTTCAGTATACTTAGCAAGGAGAGGGCTCAAAAAACTTGTAATTTTCTGTAAATTTAGAATTTAGAAGATCGTTTAATAAATGTGAAATTTAATGCTACATTTGTCATAATGAAAATTGTAAATAGCCTTCTTTTTACTGTGGAACTTTGAGAATTCACATCGTCAACTTGGCTAATTTTTACAATCTTGAAAATTTTTACACTATATATTTATGGTAGTAATGAATATTTTTCTCATATTTTTTCTCTTTGAATTTAAGTAAATAAAGACTGATGAACAAAGAAATGATGTCAATATTGCGTAAAAATATTATGTAATCAAATTGCTTTCGTACAACGATCACATAATTTAAGTGTAATAAAAAATGGGAAAATTCAAGATAGTATGCTTACCCTTAAGTTTTGGTTTGTTTTTCAATTCTTCATTTGACCTGACAGCTGCATGTAAACGAACAGGAAGACTGGGGAACGTTTTAAGAAAATACGCCCTGTAATCATCAATCTTATAAAATGGTTCTGGTTGTGGTAGAGGTCGTGGTGGATCGTTCCAATGCTGGTCAATATTTCGAATGAGCTTTAAGCATTCTGCCCATGAAGATTTATACTCTCTTCCATTTACCAAATATTCATAAACATCGTTATCCATTTGACTTTTCCAATTTGAAGATTCAATATTCAATTGTTGGACGATATTAGATTGGGGATCATTTGTTTTAATCGACTGTATGTCACCAACTTTACATAAAAAGTGAAATTTCTCGTCATTCGACATAAGAAATGGATGTTTCAAGACTTCGTTGGCAGATGGTCTTTCTTCTGGTTGTAGTTTCAACATCCACGACAGAAGGTCTTTTAATGTTTCATCCTTGATTTCATCCAAGCCAACAGGTTTTCCACTTAACATATTGTCCAATCTATGCCGTTTATTTCCAAAAGGATGTTTCCCTTTTGTTGCAACATAATAAGCTACCATCCCTGCATTCTAAAATAATAAAAAGCGTTACATCAAAATGCAATTTCACAACATTGAGTTTCTTTACAACTTACAAATGTTTACATTCCTTCACTTACATATACATCAGACCTTCTTTTGTAACGCGCTTTATCAACAGAATCATCATTTTCGCAATATGATTCTGGAGCTATCCAATACTCCGTTCCTTTGTTAGGACTGCTTTCATATGTCGAAGAATCATTCTTCAATATTCGACTAATGCCAAAGTCAGCTATCAGAAAGTTGCCTTGTGTGTCTCGGAGAACATTGCTGGGCTTTAAGTCCCGATGAATAATAGGATTTTCGCCACTATGAAGATCAGCTAATCCTTGCAAAATTTGTCTGAGAATTTCGGGAAGAGCTTTTTGAAGATCTTCCAAAGTAGAAGATTCTACGAAACTCTCCAATGATTCTTCACATAAGTCTAATATCAAATATACATACTCTGTTCCAATCTTTTCCTCTAGGAAAGAATAATTCACAACATATTTCGACTTTTTTGCATTGAATTCATTTAAAATTTTCTTTTCATGCTGTGCAGGCTGGAGGTAGTTATCTATACGCATTCGTTTCACTGCTTTACCGTGGCCATCATTTGTCAGTCCAAGATAAACACGGGTTTCATTATTTCCTTTGCCGATGCAAAACTCGTCTGAGAAAATTACACGTACATCGCCCACATTTTCAAGCTTCACATTGGGATTACGTCCATATTCTATCAACTTTAGCAACAGGTTTTTGTGCTTTGTTGATTTGTCAGAGCATTTCCACTTCGGAAACTGTTTTTCTGAAAATGGCATAAAAGTATTAATTTCATGAAGTGAGTGACACAAAAACAATAAACGAAAAAAGGTAGCACAAATTTCTTTAATTCCCGAAGGATTAGAATACAGAATATTAATTTTGCAAAATTAAGTTTTCATCAACCATCAAATAATCATAAACTACTTAATGATGAAATCGAAATCTGTTAAGATTATACCTAAAACTTAATTACAATAATCACTAATTTATCATAAGACGTTGAAGTAAAGTAGTAGGAGGTGAAATAATTATGATGACAGAGAAGAAAGACAATTGTTAATGTCTGCTCCGGGATAACACAATTCTGACAATAGACTTCTATGCTGAACTGAATGACCCATGTATTCCCACTCTTGCAACTGCCATTCTTCAAATGACATAAAAGTATTACATTCAGAGGTGAGTGCAACAAAACTAATCAAATTCATAAGAATAGGTACCTCAAATTTACTCAATTACAATTAAAATTTGGATAACGACTTTAAATTTTTGTAATATCTTAAGCACCAATCATTAAAGTTGTAAAAAATTAATCAATCATGCAAACATATATCTGTTAAGATTAAAGGCAAGCGATACAGAAAAAATGTTGTTTTTAATTTCATATAGCACTTTCGTTTAAACAACGCAATGCTTACAAAATGATTTTTAGTGTAGAAAAATTAAAGTTTTTGAAGCATGTAGCTATTTCTTATGCTAAAGTTTATATTTTATAGTGGAAGATATAACAAAACGGCTTTGTTTCAACAAAAGATTTTTTCACTCTTTTGCCTTTTAGATAAAGTCTTTAATCTTTGCTACTAAACTTTTAATGAAATGACAGATTAAAGAGGTCTTTACTTGTCCAACCTCCATGCTCTGCCATCTGTCTTATTCCCATTGCCACTATCTCAAAACCATACAACAATGATGGATTTTTACTGTTTTGTACACCTTTCTTTTCATATTACTTGAAATTATTTTGTCATTTAACACAAAGGACTTTTTCTCCACCCCATCCACATCACTCTACATCAACCTAAACTTCTACTTCGTGTAACCTCATTACTCATTCCTCTACATTCTAGAGCATGATCCCTCTTCTCCGTTGCATAGAAACGTTTGGCCTATGGTTATTTTACAATAACCCAAACCGTACGAATAGATAGCGTTTGTAAGTAAATTGCCAAAATATGAGCACTTTGCTAACTAAAGCTAAGACTTCGTCATTCATAATGATAAACAAGTAGAGGTTCCCCTTGTCTTCCTTCAATGTATTCATACACCTCCTATTTTTTGATTTTTCTCTACGCTTCTTACTGTGTACATAACTTATAATTGCCTCCATCCAATCTACGTAAGCCCTGTTTACATGAGACTGCAACGAAGTTAAACTTAAATGAAAATCAGAATTTTTTGCATGTTTACATGGTACCGGCACGAAATCACGAAAAATCCTCATTCGCGTAATGCCTCCTTTGCAGGCTAATTTTAATTTGCTTTTGTGCGCATGCGTTGATGCCATTTCAGACCGGTCTGAACATTAATTTGATTTTACATTGATGCCGGTTTTTCAATTCATACCGTTCTGAACTTAGTCGGATCCGTTCAGCAGGAGGTACGACTTCAGACTGCTCTGAGTTATTTTCGTAACGATCCCAGGTAAACATTTACTATAAATAATATTATGACCGACACAAGCTGGTACCGCGGTTTGACTTCGTTCCAGTCTCATGTAAACAGGGCCATACTCTACTCTACGTCTACCTCTTATTCTTGAAACATGCTCTTCTTGTGTCCTTTTCATTTACATACATACATGCATTCTGTGAATAATATTCATTCCTTATTTCTATGGAGCAATGTCAACAACTTTTAAGACAATCTTACTGCAAATTACAAGGAAGTTCTGCTTAGAAAACATGAGTAATATTTTGCATGTCACGTGGTACCTAGAAACTGTGAACATTGCGTACATAGTCACAGACACATGGTAGTGAATATACAGTAGAGACACTCCAAGAATTTTTTCGTGCAACGCATATCTCATTACGCATGTGATTACCATAGTGGCAGCCAGTCAATTGCTTTTTTTGACCAACAGGAATAACAAAATGGCTAACAGCAGCCAATAATCTAATTAGATATACAGCAGCAAGTTGCACAGGATATGGACCTACTGTATATTCCCTATAATGTTCACAGCTCTATCATATATTTTCATACGGCAATGACTGTTTTGACTTCAGAAATTTTCGAGTATTGATGTGTTCTTAGGGCAGTTTAGTAACACAACTATCTTTTTAAGTCTCTTAGAAGTAACATTCACTAGGTAAATGATGAATGTTGCCTCTAGTTAATGATCTTGGGTCACATAAAAAGAATTGGGTTAGCTATGTGACGGCGTAGCTAATTTAAACATTCAATCAGACATAAAGTTGAATATGGTGCAAAATTTCACTTTATTGTGCACGAACCTTTAAAAATTTTACTTTGCTACCAGTTTCATTATTTTTCATCAACTTCGTATGGCGAGAATCTTTGTTAAAAAATACACAAAGCACATAACGTTTTAACGATCTTTTCCATCCACACTATTCAGTATTCACATATTCTAAAGTCGATTATGATTGACTATAGAAGCTAGCAACTATATAACTAACAGAACCACTGCCTTTTATAACAAAATTAAAAAAAATATTTGTATCATAAAATTGCTAAAAGAATACCTGAAATTTTTCTAGCAAAAACAGTCCACGCTATATAACAATGTATGATAGAGCTTTGACAATGTACGCAATGTGTACAGTTTGTATCACGTGACATACGAAAATATACGTGGCGAAAGTGGTGAATTCCAATCAAACCCATAAAAACCATGTAATATAGATTGTAAAGACACTTTGAGATATTTCTTAATTGTAATTAGTGGATTGCAGTGCAGTTTATTTGTAATCATAAAATAACAGATAGGATTTTTAGATTTGTTTATATGTAAATGATGCTACACATCGATCAATTTGTGATCAAGTTGAGACGACATACAGAAAATTGTAGTTTTTTACATCAATTTTCGGAGCAGAGTCGAGACCACGTAATTTAAGTGTCAGTCGTCTGAATTAAGAATAAAGTTGTTCGAAAGGAGTTAGATTCAAAACTAGAGGATGTACAATAGATCGATAGATGCAATGGAAGCTACCGACTTTCAAGATAAAACAATTAAAACGCTTTTTAACTATATCACATTCCCATTCAATGTGAAAAATTTATTCATATCGCATCTTCCTATACTGTATCATATTTCTTAACACTAATCGTACTGAAGATGGCATTTTGTTAATGTAGAAACATGTTTGCTTATAAAAATCATCTTTTTAAATGTTTTTAAACTTGCTGCTACTCAGAAACTATGGTAAAATTTCATACTTATGCCATTGCATACATTTCGTACAAAAACAGTTTAAAATTCGATATTTCAATATTGACATTATTGTCTAAACTCTGTTGTGATGTATGCTCATTGCTCCAAGTCATTTTCAAATTTGAAAACTATGCGTAAATTGTATATAATATGAAACAAAATGTCTTTGTAGTGTGGAAACATTGCTTCTATAACAAGCGACAAATGCAAATACTTTATTTCTCAAATCGTGCATTTTTTTTAGTTCCAATGTTTAAAAGCCATTCGTCATATAGCCATATATATTTCTCATAAAAATGCAGAATATATGACTTCCTCGCACACAAGCGTAAAATTTCAACAGTAAATGATTACATGTTTCTCTTTCTGTTGCTTTGCCATAAATTATCTCGAGAAAATAGGCAACAACACATCAAAGCATAAAGGTTCCACTTGTCGTCTTTCAGTGCATCGCCTTGGTTTTCCTCTGTACACATCACTCTCTGACACCTCCCTCTGCCCTCTACTAACATACACTACTTTACCTTTACCTATACATCAATATGTTGTGTTTTGTCATACCACTTAGACACTCGTCATTTTGCTTACGTTGAATACTTTACCCAAGGTTTGCATTGAATTACTTATGATTTGTGAGTAACAAGGCATGAGTTTTACTTGCCGTCAATATTAGGGCTGCGACGTTTACTACTGGCTTCACTTGTTTCTTGATAAAGTCTTGAAGAAGTTGCTTCCATTTCATGCAAGATCTGTCAAATCAAAAAATGGTAAATGAAGCAAAAATAAATATTAGAATATTACTTGTCAAACGTCAAATTAAGACCTTGTGAAAATTTTTGCAGCTTATGCAATATAGTAAAAAGCCGTTTCACGTAAATCACATTCAATGATTTGTTATATAAAAATGAGCATGCACCAACTCTTATAGACCTTCAAAATCAGGTTTTTAACCATCTATACATCATTTTCGTCACTGTTTATCCCCAGTTTCAACTGCAATTCTTTGAAGGGCATAAAGTCAGTACATTTAGGGATGAGTTAAACTAAAACAATCAAATGCATAAGAGTTGCTCCAATTTCACCAATGTACAATGAATTTCGATAGTAAATGTGCATTTTGGACGAAAAGGAGAGCAACAAAAATTGATGAATTATAATTTTACTCATTTATCCAAACATATCTGATGCGATAAGAAGCAAGCTGACCTGAAGTTAATAAAAACTTCTGCTTATTGTGAGCTGTGTATAAAACCTTGTACGTATGATTTGAGCGTATTAAAGTTAAAGTTTTCAGAAAATATTTGTATTGTCTAAATTATTCTTGTAGAATTTATAAAGAGTTGTTAGCATCAAGTTTAATGTTTGGTTGTATCTTTTAGGTATATTTAACTACAAGCTGTTTCTGGTAATCTGAATTGGTTCGTAAGGTGGCAAAAGTTGAGTTTATCAAAATCACAAGTCAAAACGATTCCACACCCAGAATACAAAAATGTTCATTGCTGTAATTGAATTGAATAACTAGTTTATAATTAGTTAATCGGTCTAATTTTAAACAGAAGAGCCTCAAACATAGCGGAATTATATTACAATTTCTGCTGTATAAAACCATGTGGTCCAAAAGCTCTGTTTTTACAAATCAGAAATCAAAGTTTTTCAGTTTTTTTTATTTAATGCTATGAATTCGCATGTATCACCTTAGCGTTAACAGCTCGACGAAAGATAATTGCAACGTCACAAAACGACTAAATGTTTAAAAAAAAGGACTAAATATTTAAAATATTCAACGATGGCATGCATGAGTCTATTTGCAATTTCAAACTAAATTTTCTTCCTGGTTCATAAATGTCATTTCATACTATCACAAGTATAATGAAATAAACATATTTTATAAATATACCGTCCGGACCCAAAGATAAATATAATTGCATGCTAACAAGCAATTTGAATTCCTTAGCAAGCAAGCACATCATGATAAACACGCCTTACATTAGATGACAGTGATTTTTTGGTAAGCAAATTGTTTGTAATTGTAACTTTGTTTAATTGGTATACAACAACAGGATCACAAGTTGCTACGGGTACCTATGATGTATATTTATAGTACTAGGTTGAGACTAATATTTATTAAAATTGTATTAATTATATTTGACGAACAACTTTTATTTAAGATCTCATTTATACATCGTTAACACACACAATAATTCTTTATCTTTCGTCTTACAAACCTTTTACTGGTCGACGGTTGAAGCTTTGAACATTCGTTATTTCAGATATCTTGACGTTCTGATAAGTTAAGCGTCAAATGGCTTCGTCCTTTGAGTTGATACGTGGCAAATTATTTTGGGCAACTGAATTCAAAACATTAAAAGATAATTGTTATGTAAAAGCAAAGATACGGCCTTATGATTTTTATTGTTTTTATTAGCATGTTTGAATTTAATCTGGACCGAATTCATCAATGGAAATGAGAAGTGTAAATTATATTACATTATACCATTTTCAAGGTACTTTGATAGCGATTGGTAAAACACTACAGCTCGATATGTCACTTTTAATTTTATACTAGTGGTACTCTTGCCTGTTGAATAACACAATATCATTGCACAATCATATGTCATGAACGTCTAAATTGTGCTTGTTGAAATCTTTAGTATAAATGGTTTATTGATAAACATTTAAAAGAAGCTACATTTCCAAAATAATAACGTTGGTAAAAGGCAAAAATACTTTTTACAAACATAAATTAAATTATAATTAAACACATCAAGATAAACACGCCATATTTTAGATGAATGGCAGTGATTTTTGGTAAGCAGTTAATGTTTTTATTTGTAACTTGGTTTGATTTGTGTACAATTACAGGATTGCAAAGTGTTACGGGTATCTATGATGTATATTTTATAGTACTTGGGTGTGACCAACATTTATTAAAAATTTATCAATTAAATATGACGAGCAATTTTTCATTAAGATCTCATTTACAGATCGTTAACACACACAATAATTCTTTATCTTTAGTCTTACAAACCTTTTACTAGTTGATGGCTCCAAACTTTGAACATTCGATCTTTCAAATCACTTAACGTTCTGAAAAGATAAGCGTCAAATGGTTGCGTCCTTTGAGTTGATACGTGGCAAATTATTTTGTGCAACTGAATTTAAAACATTAAAAGTTTATTGTTATGTAAAGCAAAGATACGGCCTTATGATTTTTATTGTTTTTATTAACATGTTTGAATTTTATTACCGTTTCCTTGGTATTTTGTGAGTTTGTTAAAAAAAACCTTAGCTTCATAATGAGGAGTTGGTCTTACACATAAAAATTTACAATATCAGACTGTGGAACTTTTGTTTCATTTGCTTGTTTAAGTTGAATAAGACAAATTAGGCGTTCGTTGGCTTAAATGTTGGGAAAAGTAAATCTCACGCCTTGATTAGATAACATTACATTATATTCTGATAAATTAAATGAAGGAAAGTTGATATAGAATTCTTATTGTAGAAACTATAAAGATTTGTTGAGATCATGTCCGATGTTTTGTTGTATCATTTAGGTATATTTCAAGCTGTTTCTGGTAATCAGAATTGATCCGTAAGATGGCAAAAGTTAAGTCTATTAAAAGCACAAATCAAAACGACTTCACACCAAGAATATAAAAATGTCCATTGCTGTAATTGAATTAACTAATTAGTTTATAATTAGTTGATTGGCATAATTTTAACCCAAAAATCCTCAAACGTGGTCGAACTAAATTAGTCAAGAACTGTAAACTGAATAGATTTTTTTATATATAGACATATACACCACCTCCATATGGTCCAAAAGCTCTGTTTTCATAAACAATATTATACTCAGATATCTCAAGATTACAAGTATCATGTAAGCTATTTTTCTGCGATGAACACTACATCGGTTTTCTTGCTTGGCAGCGAAATCGCGAATTATTTTGAGCTTTTGTCATAGAATAGAGAATATATAGAAGGGCAACTCGCAGGTGAAACGCGTGCATATTTTCTGTGCGCATGCGTTAGGTCCGCCATTACTCTGGCCAGTAACTTGACGCTGGCGTACTATAAAATAATATTGGAAAAGTGCGATTTTGGGATAATAATCGCCTAAAACGCAAACTGTTTTGGAAGATCATGGAATTTTATGACAAAACGTGAAAGAAATAAGGTGAGAGACCATTATTTAATTGCTGGCAAGTCCGTAAAGGCTTTTTATTGGTAAAAATTACATGTTTCAATGTAGGGTGTTTATTTTACTGCTATAGAGTTGTCAGTATGTTAGGTGAATAGAAGTCCAGAAGTAAAATCTCTTGCGTTTTCGTCCATTCTGAATTATAAATTTCAAACTTTTGAGGTGTTATTATAAATGTATTATTTAAAACACAAACTTGTCAGAGTTTTACTTGTACCAACGCTGTAATATTTCAGGTTGCAACTTGCCAACTTGCTAAACTATAAATCAAGTTAATCAACCAGCTAACCAAGTAATCCAATGATGATTCATAATGCTTGTGTGTGAATTATAACTGATAATAATTTGCAACATTCAGTTTCAAACCATGGAGGGTTTGTTTATCATTTTAAGCATGAGTGAAATGTTAATATGTTAATAGTTGGGCATTTTTAATACCAAATGTAGTTTTAGTGAGGTATACACTCTGTTTGCCTTATATATAAATTTTGCCTTGCTGTGATTTGTGCCCTTTTAAATTTATTACCAATAGTTATGATTGATTTTCTGATATTTTTTTCTAGTTGTTATTTTGGCATTCAGTTCTCAAGTGAGGATTATGTTGCAAGTGTCTTGTGTTATGTAGTTTTAGTATGTTGGATGCCATTGCATATGTGTCTAGTTTTCTTCTAATGAAGAGTTTCAAACTCCACTCTTGTCTGAAATGCACCAATGCTCTTTTTTATCTACTGAACTGGATGATAGCAGAAAGTTCTTCTGCCACTTTAAAGCATTGAATGAAAAGAAATCTGATTTAGGAGAACTACAATCACCATCTTCTCCTTATCTGGAATACATCACCAAACTTGAAGACACATTTATTAAGACGTTTTCTGTCTACACAAAGAGCGAAGGTGTTGGTCGAAGTATATTAGACACCGTCAAGTCCATACCAAAGGAATTTGATTGCTGTACAGACAGTGGCGTAGCTAGGAAAAATAGTCACTCCCGCCAATCCATCTCGCGCCGGAGGCGCGACCCCACTAGGGGGGTCCGGGGGCATGCTCCCCGGAAAATTTTGAAATCCAGAGCCTTGGAAACAGCATTTCCTGCGATTTCGAGGGCGAATTATTTGTTGTACAATAATTTATAAAAACCCATTTTTGTTAGCTGCATTCTTAATGTGGCAATCGTTGAAACTGCAACTAGTTAAAAGGTACTAAAGGTGGCTCAGAGAAACGTTACGCAGGAGACAATTGTCCCCTAAAACATAATTTACTCATCACTGCCCTGCATAAACAGAAGAAATTTGTATTAGCACAAAAATAATATAGTATACGACACTTCTAAAGTGCATAGAGAGAGATTTTTCTTAGCATTCTACTTGTTAGTTTAAACTTGTTTAGATTGGGGCAAGTAGACAGGGATGGCTTTATTCTTTAAAGTTATGCTTAATTTTCTCAATGAAGTACCATGTATTATACGAACAAATATCAAAACACATACTATACTCATCATTTATAAAGAAAGGCCAGCCTCCTGGTTTTTCTACAAATTTTCAACCACCTCGTTATGCAACACCTCTGATTCCTCTTTCTTTTCAATGATATCTTTGTGAATAGATATTCTACACAAAGAGCTAAGCCGACCTTGACCCATTCTATTTCTTAAATAGCTTTTACCCTTTTAAGCAAGAAAACGACCTCTCTACTGAAGCACTTGCCACTGCCAACACACCATTCAATTTTAACAAATTTACCACTTGACCTAAACTCGACTGGAGATTAAATTTGAAGATGTATTTAAGAACCTCATTACTGCACTCTTTGTGAAAGTCCTTGTCGTTGTAAATGAAGGAAAGTTGACTCTCCAAAGTTTGGATGTCAAAAAGAGGACTATACTTATCTTTGAGAAGATTGATCTTCTCCTGTGGAACTATGCCCTTCCATGTAGTAAATAGTTTAGGATTTACAAGGTCTAAAAACTCGAACTGATTAATATCTTGAAATCGTTCACTTAACATGCCTTTAATGGAATCAATAATCTCAAAATAAAGCTGCTTGTAATTGTATCTGGTTGCTGGTGGGCCTACTTTTTCTAGTGCAGTTTGGTAAAACTCAGTGAAAGCTTGATCTGTGCGAAGTGACACAATAAACTGCTTGAAATTGTGCACGTCTTGTTAATGTTCTGATTGTGGTGGCTTTGTGTGATGTAGGCCACCACAATCAGAACATTAACAAGACGTGCACAAATCATATGTGATTCACCGGACGCTCTACAAAACGAAAACAACTATCTCAAACGTGTTTTTGACAAAAACAACTATAACTCTGACTTTATCAAACGCAACACTCACAAACCCAACGAACCCAACGAAACGAACAACTCAGTGACGACAGCAACGATACCTTACATCAAAGGTACGTCTGAGACTATCTCGCGTATCTTACGACCATACAACATACGTGTCGCACATAAACCAATCACAACATTACGACAAGTACTAACGAACATAAAGGACAAAGAACAACCCAACGAACGACAAGGTGCAGTTTACAAAATAAACTGCTCCGACTGCCACGCCTCCTATATCGGGGAAACTGGCAGGAACTTAAACATAAGACTTACTGAGCACAAACGAGCTACTAAGAAACAAGACAAAACTAATCACATTGCCGAACATCACCGAATCACAAAGCACAACATTGACTGGGACTCGGCAAAATGCATCACTTACAGTACTGACTATAGACAACGGCTTACATTAGAAAGTTGGTATACCAACTTGGAACACACCCCCCCCTGAACAGATCACAGCAATTACCGGCACCTTACAAACGACTTATTCACAATACAGACAAACGATCAACTAAAAACATTACACTTCAAACTAATTCACAATGACAATACACAATTGACACCCACACACTACAACTAAAAACGTCACACCTAAATCACACATCACAACTAAAAATAAAATATTTCACTTCACACTAATCCACAATGACAATACACATTTCCTGCACATTTCCTGTACACACAATACAATGACGTAAGAACCAGACAACAAATACGGCTAACCTGACGTTTACTCCTCATTTGACTCTGAAGATGACTACCGCTAAGGTTGTCGAAACGTCAGTCAACAACATCAAAAACAGTCCTTCTCAGGACTTTATTAACCTGGACGATCATCATTTACAAACATATAACGATACTCCCGGGTTCAAACCATTTACTTTATAACAAATCTTGAGATTTTGCTGTATTACGATTACGACCACCTAATAAAAGCGTAAATATGAACGAATAAAACATAATATTACAAATTGTTCGTGAAATAATGTATATCTTATGTCCAAATAGAATATTTATTATTTTTTTGGGAAATTTCTACTCCCGCCGGGCGGGAGTAGCGGGACCGCTAGCTACGCCACTGTGTACAGAATTCCCATTTGAGTTCTTGCAGAAACTTTTTGTAAGAATGCGCATTTATTACGCCATAAAATTTGCGAACCGCATATTCGCAACAACTAAAAAGAAAGACGGAAAGTACATTAAAGTCACACACCTTTGAGGGGTTTTTGCATATAATTTTTTGTCCTTTATAAAACTAAATTGAAAACAAAAGCTTTTGATATCACAATAATATATTTAACATGTAACATGTAATACATCGAAGTTCATTTAAGTCCTGAGGACTTGTGAACCTCAGAACCTGTTCAAGCTTTCCGACTGAATTTCGCTATAAATATATTAAATAAATGCATTTGTTACATGATATATACAAAATACTTGCCTTTTTATTTCAATTTCTTTCAAAAAGATGCCAAAAACAGCCAACAGCTCAAAAAATCTACATTTTAACCCACTTTACGGCTTCCACGCCATATATTTTCATAGTAAATGTTGTACACTTTACTGGCCAGAGTAATGGCGGCCGTCACATTTCCGGTATGCGCGAAACAAACTGCGCGCCACGCTTACATCAAAGGTTACCGACGAGAGTTGCCCTTCTATATATTCTCTATTCTATGCTTTTGTTTTTAAATGTGAAGCCTAATTATATATGCAAAATGCACTTCCGGTTACCCACTAGAGATACAAATTACTATAGAAATGTTTGGCGGATAACGTTTACAAACAAAGATTTTCGAATATTTAATGGCATTTCGCAAAGTATTACTTATCTCAAATATCTGTCATGGATAAATAAAGTTATTTAAATCAATTTGACATCAAAATTATTTCGATACCTGTAAAATATCGGCGTTCGTGTTCCTTTGAAAATCGCTCGTGCAAGAATAGAATTTGCCAAATAGTTGTCAAGACAAGATAATGCACAGCTTGCTTTCCAAGTTTAGAGGCAGTTATGATCTAAAATATGTTTCAATGCTTAAAATTGTGGTAAGTACCTTTATTTTATCATTCTTTATAATCTAGAGATTGTCGTATGTTACTTTTGCCGTAACTTTATGAGTCCGGGTATATTGGTGTAGGAACAAACAAATTTACTAAGCTTAGTTTATTCTTAGTTTTCATTTCTATTTTTATTTTATAAAGATAATATTATCACTACACCTTGCTATAGCATTTGGATATGGTATTCATCAGTACGTATGGTTGTTATTGTCATAACATGCAGGGGCGGATCTAGGGTATGTCAAATCATTCACGCGACTGATGTTTATAGTTCAAAAATTACTTATCAAATTTAATGATTACAATTTTTTGTGATCATTGAATTCCCGATGTATAATCGTATGAATTTCATTGTCAAAATTCTGTTTTATATCTGAAATCGTACGTAAATATCACGTTTTAGCATATCTGGAATTATATTAACTGACTGACTAATAAGTGGTGATGATTAATATTTTTTAACATGGGGTTATGTGATACATTAGGTATGATACATACATGTAAAGAAGAGAATAAGTTACAAATGGTTGAGGAGACATATAAATTACCATGACCTGTGAATGAGAATTATCATTTTTTGATTAAAACATTTTGCTAAATGTCGTGATCACCAGCACTTAGGGGGAATGGGTTGTAACATTAGGATATGGCTGTAGTAATCTGTTCAATAATATTTTTAACAATGACCATGAACATTCACAACCTTTACAAAAATCAACTTGAACCATTGCAAGTCCTAAACAAAGTTCTTTCTCTTTAAAAGTTGGCTTTAATGATTGTGATATTGGGGAAAATGACCGTGCTGTTTCTGGTGAAGTTGATATTTTAGATGTTTCTTTTTGCCATGGAAAAGCTGATTTTTTAGTACATGTGAATGCAGATATTGGGGAAAGGCATTTTTCTGATTCTTCTGATTTTGAAGATGATAGTTTAAATGTTTCTTTTCAAGATGGGTTAGTTGATTGGGTGAATGAGTACCCAATTAAGCAAAATGCTGTTGATGGCTTGCTAGCTTTTAATAAGGATAATGGTCATCCAAATTTGCCTAGTTGTGCTCGCACTTTGTTCCATACATCAAGATGTATTCCCATTCAGAAAAAATCTGGCATGGATGTGTACTTTTCTTTTGGTGAACAATTGTTAAAGCATTTTCATAAGCATCCTTGTGAAACAGTTAAGAACATTTATCATCTTGAAATCTCTTTAAATGTTGATGGACTTCCTTTGTTTAAAAGTTCTGCAAAAAATGTATGGCCAGTGTTGTGTGCCATTTTTAATATCAAACCTGTTGTACTGTTTCCTATTGTCCTAACACAGGGGTCTCCAAACGTTACAGCCAGAGGGCCACATGAAATTTTCATTCAGCATTTTGAGGGCCGACGAACCGTATACCGCTGATCGAAGAACGAGTATTTTAATAAAACGAAGTACATAACACAAGTTTCATTATTTAAGAAAGTATTTATTCAAAAATTAAACATTAAAGGTTAAATTTCAACCAAGAGTAATATCATAACAAAATCACAATTAGTCTGTTCAGTTTTCTCAATGTGAGTGGTGAAATTAGCTTTTTGATGACAAAATTGTAAAAAAGTCTAGCTTTAGGTTTGACGTCCCAAGCATTAGAGGAGCCCTCAGATTTTCATCTCACATGTTTGTTCTATAACTGTTTTTCATATACTTCATTCTAGAAAAAGTTTTTTTACACAGGTATGTGATGCCAAACATAGATAGCTGTCCTGCAGTAAAATGACTCAAATTTTGATAGTTCTCTTTCGGTTCTCTTTCTTTAAATTCTTCCCTCAGAAATTCATTTGTTTGTTGAAGTTGGGACAAAAATTGACGTTGGGACAAAAAAGCCACTCTTAGTAGTTGGCTTGCGTCATAACGTGAACTTTCTGCATAAAGTTAATTTTGTGTAATAATATTTTTTCTTCAGTGTCTCTGCGGGCCGTATTGAGAGGCCCAACGGGCCGCATCTGGCCCGCGGGCCGTAGTTTGGAGACCCCTGTCCTGACATGTGGTGACTCCAAGCCAAAAAAATTCGAGTTTTAGGATGAGTTTATAGAAGATTTGAAGGGTATTCTAGAGAGGGTAGTCCAAGATGGGGAAAAGGTTCTGACTGTTACAGTAAGGGGCATTGTTTGTGATGCTCCTGCAAGAGCACTTGTTAAAGGTACAAAATTTTGTACTGCTTATTTTGGTTGTGACAAGTGTACACAAAAAGGGAAGTGGCTTGGTCGAGTGACTTACTCTCAAAATATTAATATGGAATTGCGCACTAATATTTCCTTTAGAAAGCAGATACAAGAAGAACATAATCGCTTTGTAAGCCCTTTCTGTCACTTGCCTGTTGATATGGTAAAACAATTTCCAATTAACTACATGCATTAACTGTGTCATTGCGTAAATTGATTATGGTTTGGATGAGGGGAAATTGCGCTGCTAAAATGTCTGTTGCATGTAGAGGCTGTTAGTAAAAAATTGGTGGAGCTTAAACCATTTATCCCCTCTACATTTGTGCGAAAACCTAGGAGTTTAATGGAGGTTGACAGGTGGAAAGCTACAGAATTCAGACAGTTTCTTTTGTACACAGGCAAAATTTCTTTCAGCCGTCAATGAAATCTTATCAACAAATTCTAGAAGTAAGTACTGTAGTCGCAATGCAATAGGTCATTGCTTTATTCAAAGGAGTGCAGTTTTCACATATTGCTACGTTGCATTTAAATCTAATGAGTGATTTTGCTTTTTAGATTTGCCGGAGTACAGCGAGCTGATCTCCCTTGCAGAAAAAGGTATAAGCGCTATTATAGTCCTTGTACAAGTGGACAATTTTTTACAGAAACATGCATGTATAAAATTTCTCTTTTCATACTAATATAATGTTGATCTAAATTTATATGATGGTGAACTAGCACCAGAAATCCTAAACACAAAGGATCATGCAATAACCTCCCTGTCTACTAGAAGGACACCATCTCAGCGTAGTGGTAAGTTTTCTGTGATCAGAACTGACTAATCAGCAACTTTTATATAATATGTCGACTGAAATGTTGAAAAAATTTTGATTGATTCTTTTTAAATAACTTGAACATTCGTATTGTAAATTTACTGTTTTTCTACGTCCATCGCTGCATCATAGGGCTTATGTACGTTCTACAGGTGCTGTAGGCGTTGATCCTTTAAAATATTGTTGTAATTAGTTGAAAAAATGTTAGTAATAGTTAAAATTGCAGTTGTATTCACCACGATTTAATCAAAATACATTCGTTCAAATCTAATTCTCAGCGTTTGCTATCAAACTACTAATTGAAACTTCCTCGAGATTTTTATTTTAGTCACCTATCTGTTTCTGACTTTTGAAACTTGCAGTGCCTTAATTTAAATGACGTTCTGTCGTTCAATAAAGATATATGTTAAACCCAGTACGTGTCTTCTCTGTAGATACAACCAACGTCTCTTCACAAGGAATTCCTACAACTAACACAACAAGAGAAAGACATTCTCAACGAAACAGTGGTGTCTTAGGCAAGCTTTTCTTACAATTCATTATTGCATGTCTTGTTGTTACGTATTCCTTTACGTTCATTTCGTGTCGTTTGAAATTTTTTTTTCTTCACAACTAACTGCAACATGTGATTACTTTGCAGATGCGCATGACCTTTCATTGCACGAAACGCCTTTGACAAGTTTTATGAACATAACACCTGCAGGAAGACGTTCTCAACCAAACGTTAATGGTTCTTTTTCTACAGTATATAGTTTTTGAATAGCGTTGTTATTATGTATGCGTATTCAATTAGCAACTTGATGCGAGTTTTATTTGAATTTTCTTGTTAGCATGTTGTAAGGTTTTATATTTTTAAGATATTTCGTAGATTATACAAAATTATTCTATTATTTTCTGATCTATCTTGTAGTCTTCCAAAGATCAGTTCTCACCAAACTGGAAACATTAATTGATAAGCAAGAAGAAGCGTTGTCAAGATTGCGTGCTCTGTTAAGCGTTACGAAAGGTGTAGACGAGCACAAAATTTTGGAAGATGTTGTACCTAATCCTTAGATTCGGTTTAAGAACTTGAGGAGCTATCCTCTAGTCTTGATGAAAAAAAGTCCAGAAGAAAGTTGGTAAGTTTTGGAAAGTTAACCACCCATACGTATTTAATAATATTTATTGGCACTGCCTATTTTTTATGCATGACTCTTTCAAAAGTTACGTAAAAAAATGTGACCAAGGAAGGCATAGCTCTTCCCCTTTATCGGTTTGGAAACGTGAAAACGATTGTTTCATTTGCAATTAGCTACGTAACATAATATTGACTTTTTTTCTACCATTTCTGTTTGAAAATATGCACGTTTGTCAAAGTCCGAAACGTAATTTTAATGACGATTTTCGTGACGTTTAGGGGTCAGATTATCTGATTAAACTATATGAATCTAGCATCGTATTTTTTGTGAGAGAATTGTCGTGTTCTTATTGATTTAAATACGTTAAGCTACTTCAAACGGCTCTTAGGAGTGTGTCGTTTTATTTGTGCTAAAAAATTTTAACGAAGAAACTGGTTTTTCTAAAAGCTCTCAGCATTCACTTTGGATGGTTTTGTCTTGCAATTCGAGATCAAAATGATTATCTATGTATGTCTAAATTGAACTTTTCCATATAATTTATCTTTTACTCTCTTTACTAGCTGCAGTTTTTGGTAGCACTGTGCGCAAACACCTGTACAAACAGTGTTAGAAGAATTATGACAAAGCTAGGAACAAATAATCTATGGTTCCAATATAGTTTACAAGGCAGAAAGTCGAAGCGACCATTTCAGCACCTTGCCCTCTGCAAAGTTATAACAAGTAAGCACAATTAGACGATAATGATTGCGGTAGCAGTACCATGTTTTGTCTCTTTTTTCTCGTTGATGAATTGGAAAAACAGCCATTTATTTTGCTCCTTGTCATAAGGAATATTGTTGCAAGTTTCAAAAGCTAATACATTAAACTGTTTTGCATGTGTCACTATAATGAATTGTTTATCATTCAGCTTACGAAAATGATTTAGTGTTTTATCTATGCAATTTATTTAAAGTATGTCTTATCTGTTTCGTTTCACTTGTTAGAAGCCTGCCTCAAAGCTCATAAAAGATGCAGCGAGGCCAACGTTGCAGAGCAAATTGCCGAATTTTTAAAATATGCTCCAGGCAAGCAAGGTGGTTCTAGATTTAAGGTATTTTGTCATTATCATCATAGATTGCTTGGTAAAGTATATAGATGTCATTTTTTCTTTGTTTGATTTTCTCAACTTAGACAGGGAGAACTGAACTTAATTTACTCCGTAATCTCATAGTTAACAGATTTGTATTTTCTTGTCTGTGTAAGTTGAGAAAAAGCAAAGTGGAAAAAACACATATACGTAATGCGTACTTTAAAAACGTTCATTGTAATGCAGGTATTAGATTTGTGCAAGTTTTAAATTTTGTTAACTCAAACTGCATGATTAGATTTATAATATACGATTTGCTTAGCGTGATATTAAACAATTATTGAATGAAATAGTATATGAATTAAGACTTAAAAGGCCAAGGTTTGTTCAATCTACCAACGCTGAGGCAGATAGACACATCGATGCCTTGATAATTCCTTATATTACGTGAAAACCCAATTCAATAATTGTTTTATTATTTATATAAAAAAGACAGTGTTGGTTAAATGTGAAAAAGGTGCGGTAACGATTAAAGTTTTGTTCTCTTGTTTTGTTTCTCGTGCGTATGAGATGACGTTGTAGCGCGAGATAATTTCTTATATCCGACGTACGTACGTAGTGGCATTCATATAAGTGGATTTATTTGATTGCTTTTAAGTGAATAAAAGTAAAAAATACTTTGATCCATCCACAGCAGACGATTCAGTTTTCCATTTAAATGGCATCTCTTACAGACAAATATGTCAATGTTGTTGTAGGTGGTAAGACATATAAAAATGATATATAGACTACCATTTTCTAATAATCATATATGTTATTTTCTTGCAGGTCCGAAAAGGCAACTTATTGGAATCGACTTAATAAGCAGATTTTTGTAAATATGTATATTAAAACACGCACTGCAAAATAGATGAATTAAAAGTTGATTATATGGAAATTAAACTTTAGTTCGTATCATTGGAAAGGATGTTTTATGATTTCACCAATAATGCATCGTTAATTGTATGTTAAATGAATGTCGGATAAACGTTGGATAAACCTCGGGTTTAGGTTGAAAATACGTTACATCCCAACGTTTATCCTAACGTCACCACCACGTTCCTACGAGTTCCCAAAATCATGTTGTCTCAACGTTGGTCCTCGACGTTGAGTGAACGTTCGACGAACGTTGGTAAAACGTTGAGACAACGTGATTTTGCTAGCTGGGTAAGCACTTCAGGAAAATTTTTTTTGTCTATGGAAGTTGGAGATACGTACGTCAACGCCATATTTCCGAGGGTCTCCATTTCAGTACTTTTTCGTAGGCCATTTTGATCGTTATGGTAATTTTACTCAAAAACAGTTGAGATTGCTTAATTCATGTAAATGAAGTTCATAAATACAAACTCTCGTACCGGTTAGCAATTTACTTATTGTATGTCATCGGATTTTGTACTCTTCATACTCAATTCATAACTATATCTGATGTGACTACAAATCTTACATAATTATACACAATTATACCTATGTATAATATGGCTGTATTCAGAAATTAACTTTTAACTAACTCGTATATTTACAATACGCAAAAGTGAGGCAAATGTATAGGTTTGTCAGCACTTTCGCTGTCATGGAATAATGGAAATTTTTAAATTAGTAAAATAGAAGAGTTGCTGTACACAAATAATACAAAGCATTTGTGGATATGCACACGAAAGATCTCTAGAATGGAAAAGCAAGGATGTCTCAACACTATAAACATGGGGTGTTTACATAGGTGCGTATAAAGTATAGCAGCTCAAAAAATTGGAAAACGTATGCAACAGTTGTTAGCAAAAAATTCCAAAATTTTTGACCTGCACGTGACCTGATACCTGCCTACATGGGATTTTTCCTTTGAAATAGGTATGCAAAGTACGTGTACATGTTTCATGTTAGCCTGTCAAAGGTTTTGGAATGTGTAACAACTATTTAGTTTCTTTCAATAACATTTCATACTTCCCCGTTGATTATCAGCCGATCGCAACTAATACAAGGTAAATCTTACAAAAAAAAGTCTTTGAAAGAACACATTTCATATTTTTGGAAACAAGCGAAATACAACATCCAAACTACGTATTGGTTAACACATTCGAGCGACGTTATAATGGGAGCAAGCAATATCAAAATAAGAAAGTATTAAAACCTGAAACATATATTTATGTGCGCTTGACCTTTAAAATTTCAACTTTTTGTTGGGAATGCAACGCTTAGATAAAGCTAAATTAATTAATGTTTGATATTTCTGACAGGGCGGATTTATATCTATAGGCTACAAAAATACCATACTACAAATCATACTTTATATTATTGTTAAAAATTCACCAAAAATTAACACGAACATGACTATTGAATAGCGACAATATACATCCAAACAACGTCACAGAAATTTTGTTTCTCCATAAACATACAACATGAATTGTGAGAGAACAACGCTCAATTAAAATCCCGTCGCTTACGCAAACGTTACATGACTATTATTACAAAATTTTGAATACTTACGTAGATATTTAGGAGTACAAATATTCGTTCTTGCATACAGCTTGAAGTTGCCGTGTTAAGCTCGACTCTTTACAAACGAACAAAAAATTGGGGGAAACCCTAACGCTTTAAGGGGAGTCCCGAATAAAATGGCGCGTGATCCAATTTCAATTAATATATAATAACACAAGTCTACTCAAAAGTAGAAAGCCTTATACGCTACAAGTCACGGGCTTGTGACCGGTATAGGAGAGTTAAAAGGTGAAAGGTTTATCATAGATTAATCAACTGAATATTCCTGCTCATTTTTGTTTGGAAGCATGCTTAACAGTTCATATGAGCAAAGCTCGAATTCCATATTAAATATCAGTAACATAATCCGGTGTAAATGTTAGACAATACATCATTGACCATCAGTGAAAGCATCCCGCTTTCCACAGGAAAAGAATGAATCTAATATCGATGTTAATATATATTATTTCCTAAACATTGCATACCATAGAAGCCCATGCTAAATCCCATATAAACGTTAAATTAAGCAAATTCTATCTCGCCACTGTTTTACGTCACTAGGAAGTCATGTGAGATAGAGCGCGCGATATCAAGATCAGTTCGAGCGTAGATTTCACAGCGTTATCAGTTACAAAAAGTTCCTTTCCACACTATATTACAAAGTAAACCCCAAAATTTGGGGGAAATTAGACCACCCAGCTAGAGGGCGAGATTTACAATTGAGTGCCATTTAATCAACCATGACGAATGTCGGTCATATAGCAACACAAACCACCAATGAACTGTTGGTTGCTCGCAATAACAACATGCAGCGAACTGAATATCGATAATCTTGTTCGTATGAACGCTGTTATCATAGCGATCCTGGGACATGTAAGTTTTGAATTGTCTAAACGACGATGTGACGCTATACGTCCCAATCTCCATCCAGAATTTAGTACTTTATGCGCATCGCCTGTTTCCATTACGAAATACTTGTTTGGAGATGAATTACAAACCAAAATTAATCACACTCGCACAAGCAACAAAATTAACAACGCGACAACAAGTTCTTAATTCCAACACAACTTGGCAGCAACATTCAAAACAGGAGAAACGACAATGGCGCCATTTTTCATCCCGTCATCGGTCGAAGAGGAACCAATTCCGGAAGAAACGATCGGACACAATGAATGATCGCAAGTAGAAAACACTGAATTTTAAAAAAATTTTAAGATTTTATAGAAAAACCAGTATTCTTCTTTTGTATCCACGCTAAAAATCGTATCTAAATAAAAGCTTTGAGACCTATCAGGCTGTCAGCATATCAAATTTAAGAGCATGGGAAACACTCAACTCTGATAAGAAAATCTTAGAGACAGTTTGAGAAAAAAATTGAATTTGACACTATTCCTATTCAATGAGCTTTATCCAAAAAATACAGAAATATTTTGGTTTCCGATTCAAATCAGTCCTTATGCAATTATCTGTGACTATAGAACGAGCTGAGAAGATAAAACGCATTTATCATGAGCTGCTATAAGCGTCTCACACAAAAATAAGGGATGTTGCACGGGTTTTGAGTTCTCTACCCTCGAGTCTCCCGGGCGTAATGTACGGTCAGTTGCATTATCGCGATAAAAGTGATGCCCCTAAGTTAAACCGCGGTTAATTTGACGAGACAGTAACCCTGTCTTCAGAGGCCATACATGATTTACAATGGTGGCAGTCATTATTATGGCCTATTCACTGGCACTTTATATCCACAATGAGCCTAGCATTTGCCTAACAACAGATGCCTCCTTGACAAGGGGGTGCTGCTCCATAAATGGTTTATGTGCTTGAGGTAACTGGATGCCCTTGGAGGCTTCCAGCCGTATATATTATTTGGAAATTCTTGCGGTTTTGTTCGCCCTTGAGTCATTTTCTTCAGAACTAAAAGGTCATCATGTTAAACTAAGAATTGATGATACTACCACTGTAGCTTGCATTAACCAATAGGGCACATGCCACTCAATATCAGTTCACAAGTCGACATGCAAAGTCTGGAAATGCTGCACTTCGTTTGATATTTAGTTGACAGCAACGCACATTCCAGGAATACAAAATTTTACTGCTGATCGAGAATATCGAATATCATGCAGAGAAACAAAATGGCAGTTGAACAAGACTCTGTTCACGTGTACCATTCAAAAACTAGACGTAACTCCGAACATTGATTTGTTTGCGTCAAGGTTGAATAATGAAGTGAAACCCTATGTTTTATACAAACCTAACCAGTATGCTATAGCTGTCAACGTCTTTACGATATCGTGAGCCAATTATACAATTTATGGGTTCCCGCCTTTTAGCATAATTTCGCAAGTGTTACAAACAATAGTACAAGAGAAAAGCACAAGACTAGTCTTAGTCCCTAATTGGCCAACACAAACTTGGGGGGCAGCTTTAATGCAGATGCTAATAGCACATCCAGTTGTTTTGCCTCGGGGAAGAACGACATCCCCAATCAATACAAAACTGGAGTTACTACTTTGCCATTTATCTGGAAACTCCTCTCTGATGAAGGCATTTCACCAGAGGCTTTTCAAATCATCCAGAAGGCCTGGTGGACAGGTACCAAGAAGCAATATTCTACATACCTTAACCGTTGGCGACAATATTACAACGCAAACAATATCGATCCTGTTGCGTCCTCTATAGAAGAAGGCATTAATTTTTATAAAATTATACCAGGAAGGTCAATCTTACAGCAGCATCAATACTGCAAGGAGTGACTTATCTACTATCCTAATGCTACCAAGTGGCATCTCGTTTGGTACACATCCACTCGTTGCTAGGTTTGTTAAAGGTGTATTTGTTGCAAGACCAGTTCTTCCTAGATAATGCCACGGTCTGGGATGTATTAGTGGTATTCAAGCATCTTCGAAAACTCCACCCTCCAAAAAATGTCAATTTGAAATCTTCAACACTAAAAACAGTAATGCTCTTAGCTTTATTTTATGTATATAGTAAGTCCAGCTAAAACTGTGGGCTTTTTTTTCTATCGAATACAGACTTTAATAAGACCGTTTTAATAAAGTCTGTAAATACATCCTTTTTTTTGCATGAGGAGGTATCACGTGATCATCTTCAGCTTAAGTCAATACAAAATGATGGTTCCAATCAATATCAGTATCCTATGAACTTTTCCCTTTAACTCTAATGGAGCAACTTATCTTTGTCAAAAGCTCTTTAATTTTTAAACGTAAAAAAATGTTTTACTGAGTTTAGCAAATTGCTATGAAAGTATATTTCTAATTCTTAATTTTCTAATCAAGTCTTATGCCAAGCAACTAACTAAGAGGTTTTTTCTCGGCATTAAGGATTGGAAGGATTTCTTTAAGGAGTCCACACTGTTCTAGTTTTTCTATTTCCCTTCCAATCACAGGACTCTCGCACTGCGATTAGCTAGTTCGGCGTACTGATGGGTGAGATTTATAATTGTGGTTATCATGAATCAATAAAATCTAAAATTTTTTAAAATAACAAATGTGGAACTGGTGGAGTGGTAGCTCCCTTACACTACATTTAATTAGCAAATTTCTTTTTTATTTATTTAATTGTACTTACAGAACAAAGAAACGGTAGCTCTTCACAGACTATTTATGTATGGAGTTTTCAGATAAAACATACAGTAATATAAATTACAAATAAATGGACATCACTTTATGATCTTTCTATATCAAAGCTGCATGTTAAATTACATTTACAATACAATATAGCATGATATCAACACAATTGTATTATTAATTTACAAGGATATTCTATCATCGTGGATGGATAATACAATAAAAAAATACAATGAACATTCTTCAAAATTACTAACGTATGAAACTGAATAGAATAAATATCATTTACAGGAGTGAAAAATAATAATAAATTGGCGAGTAATTACGAAAAATAGCAATAATTGCTTTGCATGATTTAATCAAAGTTCGCGCGCTTCATTTTGTGCTCCCATAGCCGGGTTTTGCACACGTAATTCGTCTACCTCGTCCAAACGCTCGCTAGTCCATTGTATAGTAGATGTATTAGATCTCACTTCACGCTCTAAAATTTCCACTTTTTCAAAGAGATTGACAAAAAAAGCAGGGACTTGGTCAGCCATGCCTTGAATTCGCGCAAATGATTCGTCAATATGGCCGAAACGCTCGTAAAACTGTACTATCATGAATGAATTATCTCTTGCTTGCCGCTCGAGGGTCGCAATCCTTTCACACATCGAGGAAACATCTACAGACAATTAAGTGTTATTATTATTGCTCCCATAACGACTTTCTAGACTCTCAATTCTCCTTTCTAAGCCTGTAAGTTTTCCAAATAACATCAAAAATTTGTCTGAAAGATTGGCACGAACAGCAGTGATTCGGTCACCCAAGTTTTGAACAAAAGTAGTAAACTCTGGACGCGGTATATAGTTACTTAACTGTTTAACAAATGCCATAACATATCGTAACAAGGCGCTCACGTAATCAATTAGATTGTCATTCAAATGTTGACGGATCTCCTTTCGTTTTAAAGTCTGTGAAAAAAAGAAAAAGATAATGGCAAAGCATTATTTTCCACAAATTAGCGTTACCTGCAACTATTTTCGGTTATTTTAATCTAAATATGATGAAGAACAAATTTTGTTCCCTCTAAGCACTGAAATCATTAAATTAATAAGAATGAACAAACATGCCCCGTTTTCAAACAGAGAACCTATACAAATCAACTTTCTGACAGGTCAAAGCTGTTTGACAACATTACAAACTAATTATTTTACATATTGCATAATTTTGATAACAAATACATCAGTTGTGCAGCTGCTTATAACTGGACGTTACCATAATTTCATTTCTATACTCAAAATATTGGTATCGGTGGTGCTTATCTTTGTTTTGAGGTTCTAAATTTTTTCAATAGTCATAACAAAATAACAAATTTCAAACGCGTGCTCTGATTGGTCGATGCCTTTATGGAAATTTGTCAAGTGTTTGAATGGCCTGGTGAACAGTGGCGTAGCCAGGAAAAATATTAACTCCCGCCTACCCGTATCGCGCCGAATTAGAAAATATTGAAATCCATAACCTTGGAAACAGCATTTCCTGAGATTTGCAGGGCGAAATATTTGTTGTACAATACGTTATAAAAACACGTTTTTATGAGCTGTATTCTTAATGTGGCAATTGTCAAAACTGCAACTAGTTAAAAAGGTACTAAAGGTGGCTCAGTGAAAAGTTACGCAGGAGGCAATTGTCCCCTAAAACATAATGAATCAAACTCATCACTGCCCTTGAATAAACAGAAGAAATTTGGATTAGCACAAAAAATAACATAGTATACGACACTTCCTAAAATGCATTGGGAGAGATTGTTCTTAGCATTCCACTTGTTAGTTTACACTTGTTTAAATTGGGGCAGGTAGACAGGGATGGCTTTATTCTTTAAAGTAATGCTTAATGTTCTCAATGAAGTACCGTGCATTATAAGAACATCAATTTATAAAGAAAAGCCTCCTGAGTTTTTCTACAAATTTTTCAATCACCTCATTATGCAACACCTCTGATTCCTCTTTTTGAACTTGCATTGAATAAACGTTATCTCGTTGCTAACATGAAATTATAAAGTACTCCAAACATTCTTACTTTGTCATAACTGCATCCAATGGCTTGAAATTCACATTTTGTCGGCACTTCATTACAAGTCGTCTTTTCATGGTGTTCAGTATCTTTCTTCGGTATTATTTGATTGCAATATTTACAAATCGCGGGATAATTTTCACATACATTTTCTTTGTGATCCTACATGTGAAAAGGAAATACAAAGCAACGACAATTTAATGGATGAAGTTTGGTCTCGTTTCTAAAAAGGCGGTCAAAAGAAGTTGATAGTAATTGCTAAGCAATAACAAAGACAATAAAGAGATATTTATTACGACACAAAATAATTATCTCAACTTGCTGTGTTCCTGTGATTCATGCACGCACCTTAAGTGAAGCATACGGGACATCTTTACCACAATATTCACATTTTACATTTCATATTCACATTCATTCTTCAAATGTTTACCAAGAAGAGAGCGAGGCAACTGAATGTTACACTGTTTATGAATACAGCTGATGAGCGCATGCTCACAAACATGAGAATGACCCTGAGAAAAAAAAACTTTATAAGTGAAAATGCCACACTTTTTTGATAAATTTCTCTGCCCAACTCACCTCCAATTCTTCGTATGTACCAAACCATTTACACGCTTCAGATGGACAGTGTAATTGAATCCTTTTTAACTCACGCTTCGTAAAAGCATCCTGGAAAACCTAGATGGATCCATGGAAATTGATTTTTCATGAAACAAGATTAAATGTAGCAAAAGACAGAGTCTCTTCACTTCACTAAAATGCAAGTTTCCACAAGACGTTAAATGAAGTAGTAACGTAAATTTCTTACAAGAACTGTTGGCAAACTTTTTTGAAGTAGAATTCACCGACGCACTAACACTAAGTGCAAAGGCTCTCAACATGTAGACTCAACAACGAACTCAACATGTTCAATACCGTGTTTAGGAGAGTTGAGTAGTAGCTATTAAGTGGTGTTAAGCGTTGTTGAGTGAAATTTAAACTTGCTCAAAATTTTCACTCAACAGCACTCAACATTTGCTTTGTTCCATGGTCACCAAACCGCACCTCAACTTTCTTTATAGCGCAATGAAACTTCTGGTTTTTAAAACAGCACACTCAACATGTTGAGCGAAAGCATGAACACTACCTGTGCAGCTTATATTGTTGTTATTTACCTGGTCACTGAACCGTTTATGTACCTGTATATACGCTGTTGCTAGGCATGGTGGAGTATTTTATCTCATGATCCTACGCGATATCATTTCAAGACTCAACATGTTGAGAACGTTTGCACACATCGTTTAGCAAATTATAAAAATATGATGGACTATGATGAGCTCTCCCTAGTCTCCTACGCAACAGTTTTTAACCGAAGTCGTATCAAGAGATCTAATAAAGAATTTTGACGCCCTACCAGCTAGGCACCGACTTAATTGAACAAGATGATACGCATAAATACTTTGGGATATGTGATACGATATTGGGATGCATTATCAGGGCGTCTATTGAAAGAGCATGTATGACAACTACTATAACTTTTTATAAATGATTTGTTACATAAAAAATAACGTTACCCAAGAATAATGTTCATACAAGATTTACAAAACAAATGTCCACACGAGGTCTGCATTGGATTGATGAGAAGGTGATGACAGTAAGTACAAATATACTTCGCTGGGATTTTTTCTCGATCTTCATCACGGATCTTGATTCCAGGCATCGTTAACAAAGTCACAATCTGTTTTCAAAGAAAAAAAGTTTAAAATACGTAACTAGCATACCGAAAAATAAACGCAAACACCACGTTTCTTTAAATACCGAAGAAAAGGGAAAACCACCTGCAGTTTATTGAAAAATAAAAAAGACTTTTGGGCAAATGCACCTTACGTGATCAGGATTTTGAAATATGTTTAAATGCCTTGATTTTTTTTGCTTTTTCCTTCATTTTTTACTTACTTAACGCTGTTGTACCAACAATAAGAGCTTTTGCTATCACAGACAGTGACAGCGGAAGACGTTTTGTATAGAGCAGTGTAGCAAATAACAAGAAACGTCGTAGCAGGCGCTTGGCATTCAGACCATTAAGCAAAGTTTCGGCTTCATTAGGTCAGTCTGCATGAGAGAGACAGACAGTATGAGAGGCCATTTATGTGTCAATTGTTTTCCATTATCGAACAGGAACTTTTTTCAGAAAAAAAAAACATTGAAAAGCTCTTTGTAACAATGAATAATTGAATAATGAGAGGGGGGTCTTGGCACCTCCATCTCAATCATTTTGGGGGCTGCAACCTCCTTAGCCACCCCTCCTCTACCTTTGGTCACAGTTTAAATGGAAAGTCATGGTTTGTTTGATTGTTGGTTGACTGGTTAATACTGACTATCTTCTGCTATAGTTACATTCAATTATCTCAATTTAACTTTGAGTGACTTTTATGTTAACACTGTACATAATTCATTGACACTCAGCAAAGAAAATTGCCCTTGACAAATGCAAATCACAAAAATCACTAGAAATGACCTGTATGTAAATATTCTGTGGCATTAATGTCCATTTTAAGGATGAACACACAAAACAAATAAATTATGTAATGGTTTTCACCATGATGCCTGTAAATACATGGCATTCAAACATCATTAACTTTAAAGCAAGAAGCTAAAAGTGCAGGTGTTTTTCCTATAATGGATGGACACCCCCATTTCAAATGAACATGTTCTCTGTACAGACACCCTGATACCATGGTCATGAATAAAATTTTGTTGCTCACAAATTTAGCCAATGCCAGCATATTTTATTATGTAGACTTATGTATGATAGTGGTATGGTGCCTAATCATGCATTCAATTTTTACAATCTGGGTGATGTTTTATCCCTTCTATTGGAAGATTAACTTGACTTAACAGTATGCATAGAATAGAAAAGGTAACTTACCACTTGAGTCCTGGCCCTGTATCTTACAAGTTTAGTGATGGAGTTAGAACACAGAAGGAATCAATCTTTCTTTGCACCTTAAAAAAAATACACAAAATGTGAAATGTGAAACTGGGGATAAATTTAGTGCATTCACTTCAAGACAGGGATGGATCAAGAATGATTTTATGGGGGGACATGGGGTGCTTTGACTTCGATAAGAAATTTTTGGATGTCATTGTGTCATGATGGCCTTTTATGTTAAATTCTATTACTTATAGCATAGGTAGCCTAGTGGGAAATATTTTTGAAGTGTGCTCCACAGAACACAAATCATAATTGCTTTTTTCTCAATTCATTTGTGTATTAATACTTTAAAGGAAAATTCGTAAAACGAGTAGCCAATGCAAGGAAGAGTGAGAAATTTTAAATTTCAAAGCCTTAGGAATGCCATTTTCAGCATTTTAGAGCAATACAAAATGCTTTTTGTGGACATTGTTTTTTTCTAAAAAAATAACTGTAAAGTGAACCATACTTGAATGTTTTGCCAAATGTTAAGGCTCATTAGCATGCTTAGGAGCATAAAATTTACTTTACAATAATGCTAATTCAAAACAGAGATAGTCTTTAAAAATTTCTACCAAATTGACAGGCATAGACCCCCCTAGTAACCCCCATTCACACCTCTACGTAATGATTTAAGTTAGAAATGAGGTACTACAAGGGACAGTCCATGAATGTAAAAAAGCTCAGACTTCAAACCATGCAAGTTTATTGAACCCTTAACCCATTTCCACTTACAGTGGCAGAAAATTCACCTTTTGAGAAAAAATTCAAAATTTTTTTCTGCCAAAGATTAAACAATAAGTATCAGAGAGGAAATTTTGCAATTAAGGACAGCTTAATGCATTAAAGTTTATGAAGCCTTTCAGTAGTCTATTATCTTCTGTAAGTCCATGCAAGTTGTGCTATATAGCAATTACCAGTAGCATTGTACTTGCTAATAAAAAACAGAATGTAAACAGCATGTCTTTAATCATGTAATTACATGAATGTTAAAATTGGTTCATGTGTCAAGCTTACTGGTTATGATAAATAACTTTTCATAGAATCAAAACTACTTAAAATGTAAATCTAAAATAATTTAGTTTAAAATTATAATGATCATCAGAAAAATTACCTAGTGATCATGAAAAATACTTGGCTGTTTTGCCAAATTTCAAGGCTTATCTGCATACCTAGGAACACATCTTTACTTTATAGAAAATGTTTTTCATACATCAATAGCCCTTAGGAATTATGGCAAACAACCTAATATGAGCCGTAGATTAACACACCTTTACATCTCTACATGTGGTGTTCAGTTAGAAAAGGAGACAATATATGACATGGGACAACATTCCATGTATGTGAAATAGCTCAGGTTTAATACTATTCCAGTCAAATTGTCAAAATAAAAAGCTTCATGGATCAGAAGACTCAAAATCACAGGTTATAGTAAACAGCTTCTCATGTAATTAATGTTAGTTTTCTCAAATCTTAAACAATGTGTAGTATAATTGCCCAATGATTAAATGATCAATGATCATTAACTGAAAAGCCCAAAACATTTGTTTATAATAAGGTATATAATAACATGGCACCTTATAGCTACAGATTTTTTCCATTGAAATACTTGGCCATATAATGGCCAAGATTCCCGAAGCACTCAAGAAATCATAGCTAAAAGTCCTTCGGCAACAACAATTTTAGAAGCATCAGTCTGCTTACCATACGCCATATTGACATAAATCGCATCACACACTCGCATAAATTGACTTTGATATTTTACATTCATGCATACACTTCAGTTGTCCTTTACTTACGATTTTGGATGTAAATTTCTGCTGAGAAATCTCTAACAAAATGATGGCTTGCTTTTGAACATCGATGACTGAAATGTCTCTCGCGTCTTTGCCCGAACATTTACAATTCATTCATAAATTTTTCACCCTCTTGAAAAAATCGCATTCTGGACAGCAGCATTCATGTCAATATATGAATTTGTAAAAGATTTTCCCAAATTTCTGCGGTGACGCTGATTATAGTTTCTTTCATGCTTTAGCAAATAACTATGAAACGATCAAACATTCAATTTAGACCAGTGTTGCCAGATGAAATTTTAAAAAATTCACGCTCGCTGCGTCAAAAGTTCACAAAAATGGCAAGAAGTTCATATTACATCTAATTTTTAAGATCGGAGGTTAACGGATTAACTCGGACATATTTGGAAAACCTCGGAAATTTTCGAAAACCCTCGGAAGTATTCGAAAAACATCGGATTAACTTAAAATCGTCGTTGTTTTGAAAGAACTGTTGAGCTATGAAGATTTTTTTTCATTGAACTATGATTTATCTATACATTCTTTATGGAAATGATGAAAATACAAAAATACGTAATTTGGCAACACTAATTCAGACAGTAAGCATGACAATGTTACCTCAGTTGGCTATCAGTCGAAATCGGTCAAACCAATCACACAGTAAGATAAAACCTTAAACGAACCAATTACACGAAATCAATTAGACGCCCTTATCGGTCCTGCCACTCCTCTTATCGATCGATATTATTCCAGATCGTCCACTGATCTGGCTATTGACCAATGGAATGGCTTTAATTAGCCGTTCTTGAACTCCGTTATCGGTCGAACCAGTCGAGCCACCACGCTTATCGGTCAGTTAATATAATTCCAGATATGTTAAAATCTAGTGATCTGTTTGCTAACGTGATATTTACGTAAGATTTCAGATATAAAACAGAATTTTCACAATGAAATTCAAACAATTATACATCAGAAATTTAATGATCGCAACAAAATTTTAATTGTTAAATTTGATAAGTAATTTCTGAACAATAAACATCAGTCGCGAGACTGATTTGACATACCCTAGATCCGCCCCTGATTTAAATAATGTTGAATGACATTAAAAATCAGACAAGTTATATGATTCGTTTCAGAAATGAGCAGAAAATACATTCTACACAATGATATACTCACACTCCCTTGCAATGTGCGAAAATTGTCAGAAATTTAGTATTTTCAAATTATTATTAAAAAAATAACAAAAGTACACTACCGTTTCAAAAAAAAAAAAAATACCAATGATGCTTCCATGTAAAGTCTTGTGCGTTTAGATTTATCGGTCGATTGACAAAGAACCTGAGTTTCTATGATTTGAGCAAGCGAGCTTTCACGTGACAAGCAAAGTGTAGACATTCGGCAAGTGTATGATGCGTGCTACAGCAAACAGTGAATATAAAGCACATTTTTGAAAACTTAAGCAGTTTTTAAAGTTTGATGTAAATTACTTAAATATGTATTATTTTTTGAATTATGTTCATTTTGTGACAACACATTTACCACGCTATCCACATGTACACACCGTACCTCCTTTTATAGTTTAAAAATTTCATTTGGCAACACTTATTTTAGATCGAAAATATAGTTAGAGTTTATGGAATGAAAAATATTGCCAAAAATACTCATAAAAATCGCAGCAGGCAACAATTATTCTTCACCCAAATCAAGGAAGTGCAACCAATGGTGCTCAAATTTCGTCGAACATTCGCTTTTGGAACAATCCACATGAAATATGGATATTATTCATATCAAACGAGCACCAGCGAGGTGCACTCTAATCTCGACAGTGTAGATAAGCTAGAGAACATTCGAGAACATTCGCAGTCTTCCATGAACTGTGTATAGTAAACAGATCAATAAGTCGCATAATCCACTAAGATTTACACAAATTGTTCGTGATTTTTCCTCCACCCTTTGTATCAAATATTTTAAACAAATATCGGAATTAATGTGCCCTTTTTTATTGCAGGCTAATAAACAAGACGATGAAAATTGGTGGTTGACATTTACTATGTTTTAAAATTTCAGCTATAATGTTCAAACAAAATGTTTTCTTGCATATTAAACACGCCATTTCAATACTTTTATGAAATATATTATGAAATGGAATCTTCAGAATTTTTTACTCTCATACTTGAAGTTTCATGACATGCCCAATCCACGTGGATAGGCAGCTGCTGCGAAATTTTCATTCACCATCACCAACCTGTATTACCTACTGCAGGAATAGTAGACTTTGAAAATTATATCAACCATCGTGCATTTCAAAGTGCCTAATTATTGTAAGTATTATGTTATGGGCAATTAGCATAATAGAAATGAGAGTTGCGAATACTGTGATCATCATATTACATCATCTGTACTGGGGTGCACCAATGGAAATAGATTTATCTTTGGGCAGAGACCAATACAAAATATTGCCTAGGAATATAACTTTGTACAACTGATTATGTGAATAAAACAAACAACAAACATTAAATGAAGCATACCAGGTACTGTATTCAATAGAAACATAATGAAATAGAGCATCAACGAACAAAACAGAAGATTGTAGTTCAGAAGATACAAGTATCTTCAATACAAGGGCAGCCAAAGCTTGATAAATAAAGGCGCTATATCTAAATATTAATATTGTACAATCTGTAATAATGATTGATTTCAATACAAAACAATACAAAGTATGTGCATATATGAATATTATTAGCCCCCTGCTTAATTAAGTAACAAACCAAAAGCAAATGCAACATCCCATAGTTGCCAGTAAAATGAAGCACTTCAACGTTAGCAGTTTAGTTGATGATAACGTTGTAATGATCAGAAATGACAGTTTACTTCAAAACCTCTGCAGAGAGAGAACAGATGCAGTTAATATGTAAATTAAATCTACCGTTGTTAAAATACAATAATTTGAAATAGTAAAACCATTTTTCACATTCTTATTTGTTTCTAAATTGTTTTACAAACTTAATACTCAATAAACTACGTAACCATGATCATTTAATGACAAACAACATTTCTTAATATAATCATTTATGCATAAAAAAGCTATCTTATTCACATAAAAGATATATTTGAGCATTTTGATAGTATTGCAGTTTCCAAAGAGGTCAAAAAAAGCAGTGGAATCATTATGAATGTATTATACAAGATGAGATAAAATCATAAAGATGACACAAAAAGATGTAGAATTTTGGACGTTGGAGACAAATTATTGTTTCTTTGTATATAATACTTCATAAGAAGAAATGTGCTCAACGAGTCCCAGAGGAAGAATACATTTCCAATTGATTGTTTGTTTTTGCCAAAACAGACACTGCATATTTCTGGATATATATTGCATTGCTTTGCTTGCAAATTGTGTTGTATGTATTGAAGAGCTTTAAATCAATAATTCAGTAAAATTTATGAAATTAACATGCCATTGCATTGCATAAGTACTTTTTATTAAAGTTGCATCTTTATCATGTTATTCAAATACTTCTGTGTTTTGATGATAAGAATTATGAAAGTACTATAAAGTTTGTGTCCTGAAGCAAAAATTAAATATATGGTTTGTTGTTATGCTAGTTTTACTTTAATAAATTACATGTATAACACAGAATTCATTGCTTTCATCGAAAAGGTGTATAAGCATCACCTTCTAGCTTGTTTAATGTCACAATGTGTACAACATCTTGAGTAAAAACAGAAGACTTAACATGATTTTTCTGTGAGTTGCAACAATGCAAAGATAGAGCATAAATAAAGCTTTCTCTGTCCAGAGATATCCAAAGAAGAGAATTATTTTCACAATAAAAATGAAAACTGGGAAAAGTTCATGAATTCATTTATTGAGCCTAGGTACGGCCAAGATTTTTCTAAATAAAACCTTCAAAATGCAGACAATATCTCTGCCAAGAGTCAAAATTTCAAATACTATCTGGGGTAGAACCAAATACTATCTTTGGTAGTACGCATGTCCCCAAACAACCCTTTATAGTGGCTCACATGTTCACGACTCAAAATGCCAAAGTCAGATAAGGAAATGGATCCACCCAGGGTAGCTATAAGATTAGGGTTGGGTTCAAGGAAAGCAAAGATTGAGTTTTAAAACAGGGTAGGGGAAAAATTGAGTTTTAGAAGTTTAGGAATACATACACTAAGGATGGAACTAATAAAATGGATGAATTGAGATAAACATAGAAAAAACAAAAGATGCACTGCATCACTTACCTTTTTGAGCTGACAAATTACCACAAATTAGGGAAACTGCTGATAAAACTTGTTCCTGTAAGTAAAGCAGGAAAAAAACATTTTATTGAATATTCAATGACTGAAAATGCCCTTGGCCATATTAGTTAATCCCACAATCCTGTCAAAATCATATGAAGCAATGAAATGGCCAGATTCAGCATTTAATTTTGTTAAAATTTAAGAGCCAAAGCCGATGTTTCTTTCAAATCCCTTAACACAAGGCAATCAATGTATTCTTGTTAAATGTATTACTATGAGACATATTTTCTGTTGTCACATACCCTAGTTTTGCACTTTCACAAATATGTTATAACTTATAAAAGATTAGTGATTGGCTTCTTCCAAGAAAGCAAATTGCAGTGACGCATTGCAATGACTCGTCCAAGTTAGAAAAATATTTGACCATATAAAGGATGCACTCTTCAGAGCACACTTCTGAGCACTCCTGCATCAACTATGCAGCTGTGACATATTTCAACTTTTAACTGACTTAAGGCTCTTTTCCACTCATCGCAAAACGTACTCGCAAGCTCACTGCGAGTGCCTCCGAGTGCCTGCGAGTTACTCGCAGCGAGCTGACAATGAATTGAAGCATAGTTAAATTAGTTGAACAAATTTTTTTGTTCAACTAATTTAACAGACTCGCAAGCTTGCAGCGAGGGCATTTTGCGATGAGGGGAAAAGAGCCCTTAATGATGCCATCACTTGTAATAATCGAGGTAATTGAGACAGTACAACGGTGATGATATCCATAGTTAAGATGTTTGTATCTATTGTATTTAATATAAACCTCACGTCGGCATGATTTCCCACAACAAATAGCTTTACAAAAATTCGTATGATGCAAATTATAAGAAACATTAGCCATAATGCGCTTAAAGAAATATAAACAAACTTACTCTCTTATGTCAACAGCACGTAATAGATTTTAGAATGTCTATTATGAAACGTCTATTGCAGAATACTATTCTGTGAGCATTCTGAGAAATACTCGTCGTGGACAGTCGTAAACAGGTGCACTTGTGCATGTCTCTCCGCGCCATTGAACTAAATTAAATGGACACGCGAAAACGAACTTTAGATTTGATTTGCCTTGATGTTTTTTAATTCACCACTTTTAGTGCCTATAACGTCATTGAAAATGTTAACAATGTCAAAGTTCGGACAATAAATTAAGCTTCGTCGTACACAGTCTCGCAATAGCAGCACGCAAGCAAATAGCGGCGAAGTGAAAACACTTAGAGCCTGATTATATAAAAAGGCGAGCTAGCCCGCTGGACGAGAAAGCTTTTATCGACATGATATATGGCTAACCGGCTGGGGAAATTACGGCGCGCAAAAAATCGCGTGTTTATAATAACAACACAAATCAATGAAAACGTGAAAACAATTCAAAATATTCATCTCATTTAGCTACTCTCGGCCACATTATTCGCACTTAACTTTTATATATATTGTAATGCGCTGTCATGTAATTATGTGTTCATGTAATAATGTAGTTTATATACTGTCTGAGGCTATTCGCTATCCGGTCCAGCTCACCTCCACATAATCAAGCCCTTCGTTGTTGTGTTTTCAGACTTTAGTTCTCCTATAATCTTATTTTATCTTTCATAAACTGTCAAACAACAGTTTAATGACCGACCTTAATAGGTTCGCTTTTTTTCTCCCGGTTATTTGACACCAGTACAGGTATTTTCTCGGCTCTGTGCGTAAAAAAAATTGTGAAGAATTTGATAAGGAAAAAAATTTGCCAAACGCAAGTAATTATCAACGATGTGCCATTGAATGATAATTTCAACATGATAACCGAAAACGACTTAAAAAATTCCCTCACGATGAATTGTGAGATATCTTGTCAATTATCATCCCTCATTGGAGTATCATAAATATAGTCTTGCTTAGTACATGTGTCTAATGCCTATTCTATGTTTGTAACTATGTACATTACAAACGGTAAAAATGAATGATTGCTATAGCTGTCTTCAAGTAATTAAAATTACGGCTAAGTACAAAGGTTTTAGATGACACGCAGCTTATTTGGTATGAAATTACATAAATTCAACTGTTGAAGAAACCTTCAATAATTTCTACACGAGTCCTCTCACTGTTTCTTTCAATGGGAACGCTATTTCAAAATACAAAGATATAAAATAAGCGTGTTTAAAATAGTTCTTGGCAAAAGTAGAGAGAAAATAGACTTTTCTAGACAGGAAATGGTGTACATCATGTCTCGATAATCTTTAGTAAGCAAATGCGTTGCAAGAAAAGGTAAGCATCAAACCTAAGTACATTCTCCGTAAATGGACATCTCTATAGCGCTTAAGCTCATTTTTAGCGCGACGCGCGGCTCCAGCATTACGATAATTTTATGGGATTGTTTTGCGTATTTTTTCTAAGCATATTTGGATAATGGCTAAGAATCCTTTTTAATGTTTCCTAATCCTTTCCTGAGCCACAATATCTTTTTACTATTGCATCATAATGTAAGAAGCTTTCTATTTCCGAACTTTGACTTTGCTTACACTTTTAATGACGTCATAGATACACGTGCACGCTGCCGTGAAAATGTTGAATTAAAGCGGAAAACGAATGACGGAAAATTACTTTTCACATTTAAGACTGAAAAGACGCGAAATAGCTAAGCCAGAGTGTGTGTGTTATTATGTCCTATAGTTTTCTACGACAGCTTGACTGTAGTTTCTAAATACCATTCTCGTGCAAAATAACTAGTTTCCTGCGACACGAAAAGCTTTGTTCTATGTTGAAATAAAGGCTGAAACTGTATGTTCCTCACTGAGATTGTTAAGTTATCGGAAATTATAATATAAATTTGGTGCTACCATCAAAAGTAACAAATTTTAGTGTAGATTGTACATTTTAAAGTATGGAAAAAAGCAGATTATGTAAACCGTGCAGCCTGAGCGAAGGGTAATCCAATACATACCGCAGACAACCAGGTCTTGGATACTATCAAAAACCATGTCCAGCCGACAATTTAACCGATTGCAGCCGACAATAATGTCCAGCCGACACTTTCTTCGGAATTTTTTTTACCATATTTTGGATATTATCGTTCTATGTTCCATTTATTTATGTCATTCTCTCTAAGTAAATGAATTATTACTTTGTTTTGCGGTTGAAAATTACTAGCATTTTATTACTTCCTAAAAACGACATTATTTGCGTGTAGTTATAACAAAATAGTAATCCTGTAATGTAATCCTGTCGTGTTTTGTGAAATCACTGAGTGAAAAGCACCCAAGTAGTTAAATTCCATCACGTAGTGAAATTTGAAATATTAGAGTGGCAGCACTGTACATAACAACCTAATTATAAAGCTATTGCGCAGTTCAAATTATCCCATACAGACCTGATAGTTGGTTATGAAGTTTACCTTCGTGGAATGTTTGTCTGAAGTCTAGGAACTGTCAACAACAACAACGAGCATCTTTCCTGTACAAGAAGCATAGCGTGAATAAAAACACGAACAATATTTATCGTTGACAATCGTCTTCAATAAAAAACGGTGAGTTTGGATGACGTGTTCGTTGATTGTAGACATATTACATTGATTCCTAGTAAAAGAAATCATTTTGAGAATAAAACGTGTCTATGACCAAACTAGCTAAATTGTCATCGGTTTTATTAGATAGTTTTGGATTTTGAAATCACATCTTGAGAAGAAAACTTCGAAGACAAAAATATATTTGTTTGTCTTTGTATTTGAAGACTGTCGTTCATTTTTATTATAGTTCTCGACAGTTTCATTTTCACATCAACAACATTATCCATTTTACAATAACTACCTTATCTCACAACATTTGTGTTTTAACCTTCTACTCCTCTTCCTTGTGAACGAGAAGAGTCAACTAAAATGTAGAGAGCTTTGCGCTTTAAGTCCCGACCTTGTGACAAGTAAAGGTGAAAGGTTTATCAGAGATTAATCAACTGAATATTCTTGTTCATTTTTGTTTCGAAATCAATATTAAATATACAGTAACATATACCGATGTTAATGTTAGGCAATACATGATTGCCCTTCAGTGAAAGAATCCCGCTTCATACTGAAAAAAATGAATCTTATACTGATGTTAACGTAGATTTTCATAAGCATTCCGCTTGCCAATATGACGATAAACATAAAGTTAAATAGTCGCAATGTTATTAAGAAACACAGAAAATAGCATTATGCTATATTTGTGTTATTCAGTAGCGCTCCAACTATTTGACCTTATAGTCCGTGATCTGTGCCTCAAAAATATGCTTTAAAATGAGTTTCGTTGGACACCTCAAGGAAGGTCAAAAATTTTCAAAATAGATAGAAAGTCACTTGCTGTTTGATATTCTTTTATTGTCACTTCTAAAAGCTGCAGTTTTTAGTATTTCGCGGTTGAATTTCAAAATTCCTCGCTCCTTCAGTTTTGAATGTCGCCATTTGTTTTGTGCGGAACTCTTTGTATCTAACTGCCGTTGTCATGGTGAGGAAAATTTATTTACGGGTGCCATCTGGAAAGGTGGCAAAAAGGCGAGACTCTTAATAAAGTCCAAGTAAAATGTAAGTTTTAAATGAAGAATTCTGTCGAAAATTTTGGAAGCAAACCTAAACTGTCACCTTTGCACTTATGTATAAACATAGGAGAAGCCTGTTTTAGACCTAAATCTTGTCAGTTTTAAGAACTCATGGTTAAATAGTGCGCAACTTCACTTTTCGAAGGATAGCAACGCATCTTTCCATAAATTTTTCCTTAATCACTAAAGCTTGGTAAGAAATTGATCATTACCACTAAAGAATTTTTTGTTAATAAGCTTTTAAAGAGGCACATCATTATGCATAGGCCTAAGATAAATGTAAAAATTGTAGAACAAACATTTAGCAGCTTACAGCTGTTACAGATTCCATAAAGTACATGCCTTTGTGATTAACCTGCTTTAAGTGATGCAAGAGCAAAATAAAGTTTTAAAAGTATTGCTATCAGGCTATTAGACTCACTAAACACAAGAAATACTTTGATTCAATGTTTTGACCACTCTTTCTACAAGGTCACTCCACATAGGATAAGTGAAGACCATTCTTTACTTTGGAAGAGTAGAATTCTGAAATTTCTCTTTTTAAATATAGAAGGACAACATTTTTTTGGTTTGTAGAACCTACACTAAGCATTAAAGGGCTTGCTCACTTCTAACAGAGGATCTTGTCTCCATTACATACCAATGTCCCAAAACCATCTTTAGTTGCTGTTTCCATGCATTGATTATATAAAGAATGACTTCAAAAATAATTCAGATATTCTTTATTTTAAATCAACATTATAAACTTTTATCAAAGGACACAGTAAATTAGTAAATTAGTATGTATAGATCAGAATCATAACTACATTTCTTGTTGAGAAATATATATATATACAGGATCACTTTTTCAATCAATGTGCCAGAAGTCTTTCACTCTCCTTTTCATGGTATGACAAAGACAACTTTTATCTATGAAAGTCCTCGCTAATCAAATTTACAATAAAACAAGTTTCAACCCAAGCAAAACCCCAGCTTTCTGGCTTCTGAAATGGCTCACTGAAAAATATTCTTTCTTGAACTGTAAAACATGATCTTGAGCATAAAGCCTTAACTGAAGATTAACAATCATCACAACCTATGAAAGAGATTGTTGAAAATACAAAAGTTTACCACTTCTGACATATTGTAAACAAATAGTAGCTAAGTTTGTTCTAAGAATCATATAATGTTGAGTTCTAGCTTGGTGTTTTGAGATTTTATGCTTCTTAACTGAGATTTTTAACTTCTTTTTGCAAAATACCTCTCAGTTGTATACAGAATGCAATAAGAATGACTTTAGCAATATTTACACTAACTCTTGATTAGCAATGGAAGTTTATGGAACTTACATTTTTGTACCAAGCCGCGCTTTGGCCTTTCTGTTTACAACCACAAATGGATATTACTCCTCCGGATGAAAATGGGTGGCAAACGAGTGACGGGAAACTGCAAGTCTGAAATCTTATGGATGACCATTCCCCTAGCGCCGAATTCCCTACTTGATGACGTTCATTGTGGTTGTAAGACTGGCTGCCATGTGGCTGTAACTCCCAACGTTGTTCATGTAACAAAGCCGGAGTGAAGTACACGGATGTATGGTCGTGTACTGCATGCACGAATGTAGATATTGATGACGACAATGATGTTGAGGATAAGGAGTTTTTAGATGATGACATTGACGACGAATTCGAGACAGACCTTTAAAAAAAGCGCGCCTTGTCTTGCACAATACGATTATAACTTTCAAAATATTATCTTCGCAACAATTGCTAAAATCCAACCTAATGCACGAGTGAAATATGTATTTTTTTCAGACATTTTATTTATGTTGCCAGTATTATCGTGCGGAATAGCTCTCTATTAGGTCTGGCACTAGCACACAAAATATAAATAACATGAAATTTCCTTGGGGAAAATGGCGGATTTCGAAATTGTAATGAGCTACAAATTTTAAAATTTTAATGTAATATAGCAATAAAACTGCAGCTTTTTGGAGATGACAAGAAGTAAAACTGCGTTAAGCATGTAAAAGTCGTTCTGTCTTGAATTTTTCACGACCTTCCTTGAGGTGTCCAACGGGAATGAAAGAAAATCGGTCACAGATCACGGACTATTACATTACTCATTTTAAAATGAAATTTTAATAAACTGGATTTTTTGATTGGTTCAAATTTCATTGAGCTGTAGGAATGCCATATAAGGATAAATGAATATGATAGTCTTGATCGTAAAAAAGTATTCATCCAAGTATTGGAGTGTTTTTCATTGTTGCTAGAAACTTCCAAAGAGACTGTTAGTACTTATATTTCACAGAGTTTCACAATCTTGACGGTGAATGACGTAACTATAAAGCTTGTGTTTTTATACATTCCAAATAATCTTGAAGGATTTATGACAATATTTTGAAATATTACTAAAAAATCAACACGATGAGAATATGGGACTATGAAACATGAAAATTATGTTGAAATTACAACTCAATTTTAAACTTGCTTCATGCATTTATGATTTGTAGACATAGTTCAAATGCAGTTCTCCCATGAGTTATTTTGACTTAGGTATATACAGAAAAAATTAATGAGATCACTTGCGAATCAGCACATTTACAGATAAGTATAATAACCAAAAGTTATTTGAAGATTTCTTTTTCAAAAAAAAAACAAAACAAAATAAAATAAAAAAGCACTTTTGCTGACGTGTTTAGCCATAAGAGCGAGGAGCGCGCGGTCAGTTATCGTAAAATTCCGGATTGCTGCTACCACCGAGCGAACCTTTCCTCTAAGTCTCACCAATTTATTAAGGTCACGAACCTGACCACCATTATAGCGCTTTCTTAAATAATAACATAGGGACTTTGTCGTGGTGACAAATAGTTCTAAAGATAGCAAATAACATAGTGAATGGTAAAAGTAATATAACAAGTTGACAGTTCTTAAAAGAACTGTTTTAAATAAAAAGCACTAACCCAATAGTTCTAAATTAAACGACACGATGTATTTCGGCAGACTACTCCTCAGTAACGTTTATACCAAAGCACATCTGGAGGTTCAGAAGAGGCAATCATCTGCAATCTCCAAGTCTGCAATTAAAAAATGTTAATACTTCAGTTTTACAATGATTTTTCTCAGGAACTAATGTGATGACATATTAAGCAGAACTTTGAACATTAAGACGACAGTGTCTCATAAAGAAAATTGGATAATCAAGAGTTTAAAAAACAAAACTCAATGGCGGATGATCAATATAAATGCTTAGTCGTTGAAAACCATTCCAATGTTAAAATCACTGTAAACTATTACAAAGGTTGGTCTCCTTTTTGCAAGTTTCCGACTTCTTCAAAAACCCTCCAACCAACAGAGAATCATCGCTATCATCATAAGGAATCATTCAAGTTTGAAATTTTGCGCATATAGACAATAGAAATGAAAAGAAGCTTCTTGGACCCAAGAATTGCAACGATATTGAAGTGATAACTATAAATGAATCATTAACTTGTCAACGAAATACTGTAAACGAAAATGGCAAGCAAACAATCGGTCGCCACATAAATCGAGAAAACGAATTGCCCTCTGGAGACTTGTATGAACAACTAGGATTAAACATGAAAGAAGTTCGTAAAATGAATGTAAATGACTTAAAAAGCGGTCAAAACAGGATTTCTTAAAATGATGCTTATATGGCATCCCGACAAGCCTAATGGCAATAAGGAAATAGCAGAAAAGATAATTCACGCAAAGGAAATTTTGTTAAATGATGAATATCGAGCTCAATATCACAACCACTTTGACTATCAACAAGGATGGTTTTCTTTAAAACGGTGGAAAGCAATTTTTTTATCTGAATGCGGGAGTGTAAAGCAACATAAAGCTTTTTGGAAGCGACTTGGTTTTCTTGTATTCTCTTCTTTATTAGCTGTCGGCGGGATCACCTGTTCTGTTTTAACGGCTGGTCTCGGTGCACCAGTTTTTGTAACATTAGGATCAATAGCTGGTGGAGCGTTATTCGGCGCCGGCTTACAATCTTCAGGTGAATGCCTAAAAGAACGATCTGTTATTGATGGAATGGATTCTGAGAAATGGATCAAAAAAGCGTTGATAGGTGGAGCTGCAGGTGTCTTCGTTGGAGGTGCGTCCGCTGGCATCACAGCAGGAATAGTAGGCATTGGAAACGCAGCATTATCGTCAAGTGCGGTTTCGATTGGTAAATTTATTGGAATGGGAGCAGCTAATGGTGGTATTGGTGGAATAATAATGTCTTTGAGCTCTATTCTCTCAAGGAAATTAGTTGACAAAGAAAACATTGCTCTAAAGAAGGTCATAATTCACGCCCTATTGGGAGGATTGATAGGAGCGACGGCTGGAATAGCAGCAGGTGCAGTTACTAAACCTTTAGTTGATGGTGGTTCATCTGCGGCCGCACCAACGATTGAAGGTGACTTAATAGAGCAAGCTTTTTTACGTACGACTGGACAAAATACAGTTAAACTATTGCGCCTTGTTGGTAAAAGAGCTGCTATTTTGGCGTCGAGAGTTGCAATTGAAAAATCTTACGACGCTGCTTACGAGCTCGTAGATAGTTCGGCTAAAAGCTAGATCTGACAACACTTGTAAGTGAGAATGAGAATCAAGACAAGGAGTTATTGGATCTACTGGAAAACGAAGAAAATGCATTTGGTGGGGAGGATGTTGACGGGTTACAGGAACTAATGCACGAGTTTTATCTAACTCAAGAAAACGGTGAGAATGATGATGTAACAAATGAGAATGAATTTGCGCGTATGGAATTAAAGGAAAAGGAAAACAATCAGCGAAGAGAAAGAACAAAACAATCATACAATAAAGTGTTTGAAGAAACTTCAATTGATGAGTTACAGGTAGGAGCAAATGATTTTTTACTAAGTGAGAACAATTCAAACGTGAAGTATGGAGCATCTGCAAAACCCCTGACACATAGCTCTCAAACAGAGAGAAATTTTTCATCAACAGTAGAAATCGATTTCAATCAAAGTAATTCAACCTGCACAAATAATGAAAATTTTGCGTCAAAAACACAGCGACGCTCAATTGCTGATGAAACAAGCCAAGAACAATTGACCAAAAAAACCATTCAATATTATTCCGAGGGATCATGGATCTCAAAGATGATCGTAACTTATTATTTAAACGAAAGAAAAGTCACAGAAGAAGTAAGTGGTAATGGAGAGAGAGTGAATATTTCTGCAAGCGCAACAAATGTCGAAGTGAGATTTAAAGTTATGCGTCCATTTTGGGGTGATGTCATGACGTACGACCGTTTTAACAAGACATGGTTAAAACCATACACCCCTCACATCTTCCGTTACCAAAAAGCAAAAAATCGCACATTTACTCTTAGTGGTAATCTTCGTTGGGAGGCAGTTATGGGAGTCAGTAATGAGTATGGAGAAACAAAAGAAATGGGCTTTATATCAACTGACGAAATTTATTGCCCTCAAAGAAATTCAACCTGCTCAAATAATGAAAATTTTGCGTCAAAGACCCAACAACATTCAATTCTCGACGATATAAGCCAAGAGCAGTTGACCAGAAAAACCATTAAATATTACTCTAAAGGTTCATGGATCTCAAAGATGATTGTAACCTATTATTTAAACGAAAGAAAAGTCGCAGAAGAAGTAAGTGGTGATGGGAAGAGGGTGAATATTTCTTCAAGAGCAACAAATATCGAGGTGAGATTTAAAGTTATGCGTCCAATATGGGGCGACGTTATGAAGTACGACCGTTTTACAAACACCTGGTCGAAACCGTATACACCTCATATCTTCCGATACGAGAAAGCCACTGGTCGCACATTTACTCTTAGTGGTAATCTTTGGTGGGAGGCAGTTATGAGAGTAACTGATGAATACCATGAGGAAACAAATGAAATGGGCGAAGTTTAGAAAGGTGAAGAACTTTCTATAATCAATTAATCACTGAAAATAACATTTGTTGTGTTTTGAAGTATAGTACTTGCACCCCTAAATAATGTAGTAACTATATATTGTAATATGAGTGTATTCTCCGATTGTGTCAGGCACTGTCGATAACAACAAACTACTCGATCTTTATCATTTCTATTGCGTATTGTACTCCATTGTACTTGGAATCAATTATAAGCCGTAATGAAAAGATACGTGCCTACACCTAGATAATCGTAAAGATAACACAGAATTTAAAATAAGAACCAAAATAGCTTAAATAGGGTTAGTTACAAAGTATTTTAAAATGGAGATATGACTGCTGTAACTGTTGTAACCGTCCTCTACTGAACGAAACTACATTTATATAGTTGAAATGACCTTGATTCTTCAACAAGTCTCATTAACGTTTTTTGAATTTTGCAGATATCGCCAGCGGAAGCAATGATTGGGAAACGTTCTGTTAACATAGAACAAATAAGTGATTGCTGAACTAAATGATAATTGACCTTACCTGAGATTAAGTGTAACTGTAAATACAACGTATAAATCATCATTATTCAAATGATGGAGACAGCAATGGCTCTCACATTTTGATTTTTATGAAAATAGTTTTCTATGGACATTTATCTTATACCAGTATGCTTTTGTGTATAATGTAATCATTAAATAGAAATTTTTCATTGTTTTTCGAAATTCTAATTTTTGATTATTCTTAGAAATTGTAATTATTCATTGTTCTTAGAAATCATATGTTAAGGATACTTTCCAGAAAAGCAACAGTTAGGTCAATTGTAAATTGGGGGGCACATATTCATATATGCATGATTTGTTGTCTTGAATTCTTTTGAAATTCATTGTTTTAACGAATTATATGACATGAATATGTGAAAATCATACCCACTTTTGATTATCAATCTCTCTAAGCCCATGTCTTTATCATGTATCATAATACAATGATGAAAGTTTTGCCCATAAATTGCTTTGATGCAACCCTTTGTTGCATATTGTTTCCAATTGTAACCTTTATACCTCCCTGCATGCATTATAACCGTAAAAGGAGTAAATTATTTACAACTTGTTCAGGTCTAGTTGTGTTTGCGTTTATTGTGTAGATAGCTAACTTCAGCTAGAGGTATTTGCATCGTCTAAGATTGTCAAACACAAAGTGAGTGTTGGAATTTTCAGTTAGTATTTTGTAGGTGTTTGTAAATGGGAGAGTATTTTCGAGGGTTGTGGTAGCTGTAGCAGGCTAAAACTTAAAGTCGTAAAACACAGGCTAAAAACTTGTGTTCTACACTATACTAATTACAGGAACTTGCTATATGATAAATTAGACAATATATTTATGCTATGTTACAAGTGAAAATTTATTATAGTATTATAAACATAGTTTAGGCATTCGATCTTGTCGAATACGAATGTTTTATCCCCACCTGCATGCACCCCACTCCCACATCTTTAATCTTACGTCCCCAAACTCATGCGTGAGAAACATGAAATCCTACAAAAACAGCTTTAGTTTAAATTGAAACGCTCAGCTCAGCAGGTGTCAAATAAAAACAAGCGTTGACAAAAGATTAAAAAATACAGTCACCAAAGTGAACGAACGATGTGAAATTAGACATAAATATACAGAAAGAGAAAAAAAGATTAAATTTCCAATCCTTAATTAGTCTTAGTAAACGGAAATAGTTTTGCCGTTCATGCTTATTTTACAAAACTTTAATACATAATCAACTTATTAGTGATTATTTCATTGCCATTTTCAAATGTTGAACTTTATATGCGCCGAATGCATTAAAGACAAAAGAAAATGAGATGAAATTCCTCTAAAAGACTGCAAAAAACCATAATTTGTATACGCACAAGATCTACACAGGAAATGGTGTACACATGTCTCGATAATCTTTAGTAAGTCAATGCGTTGCAAGAAAAGGTAAACATCAAACCTAAGTACATTTTCCGTAAATGGACATCTCTATAGCGCTTAAGCTCATTTTTTAGCGCGACGCGCGGCTCCAGCATTACGATAATTTTATGGGATTGTTTTGCGTATTTTTTCTAAACATATTTGGATAATGGCTAAGAATCCTTTTTAATGTTTCCTAATCCTTTCCTGAGCCACAATATCTTTTTACTATTGCATCATAATGTACGAACCTTTTATTTCCGAACTTTGACTTTGCTTCACTTTTAATGACGTCATAGATACACGTGCATGCTGCCGTGAAAATGTTGAATTAAAGCGGAAAACGAATGACGGAAAACTACTTTTCACATTCAAGACTGAAAAGACGCGAAATAGCTAAGCCAGAGTGTGTGTGTTATTATGTCTTAGAGTTTTCTACGACAGCTTGACTATAGTTTCTAAAAACCATTCTCTTGCAAAATAACTAGTTTCCCGCGACACAAAAAGCTTTGTTCTATGTTGAAATAAAGGCTGAAACTGTATGTTGCTCACTGAGATTGTTAAGTTATCGGAAATTATAATATAAATTTGGTACTACCATCAAAAGCAACAAATTTTAGTGTAGATTGTACATTTTAAAGTATGGCAACAAAAGCAGATTATGTAAACAGTGCAGCCTGAGTGAAAGGTAATCCAATACATACCGCAGACAACCAGGTCTTGGATACTATCAAAAACCATGTCCAGCCGACAATTTACCGATTCCAGCCGACAATAATGTGCAGCCGTCACTTTCTTCGGAATTTGTTTTTACCATATTTTGGATATTATCGTTCTATGTTCCATTTATTTATGTCATTCTCTCTAAGTAAATGAATTATTACTTTGCCTTTACCTATCGCGGAGTCACACGAAACTAAATCACTTTTCTTACAAACACGTTTTGGTTGTTGTCTTTAGGGGACCGTTCCATTTCTGATTGAAGTTTGTCTGACATGCTGTTTGATCCTATCACCCAGCCTTATAGACGTTCTACCTACGTAGCGAGCATCACACTCATATTTATATTCGTAAATTACATTGCTTAAAAGTGGTGCCGGTAGAGATTCTTTGTGGTAGGTGGTAGAATAGTTCTTTTCGAAAATAGAAAGATAGCATGGCTCGCAAAAAAATAATTCTCCGTAATATTCTTATTTTCTCTTTCAATATCATCACATCCATAAAAGTTTGATAAACACAGGGCACTTCTCTGGTCCAAAAGGCCTGTTCTGCTCATTTTTTGTTGATGAAAAAAGTTTATCAAGCATTTTTTCCGGATATCCATTTGAGAGAAATATCTTTTTCAATAGTTGAGATCATCCTCAATGAACTCCTTTGATGACAGTCTAAGCTTTCGCTTTATTAAACACTTTACTAAAGAAATCTTTTCTCTATGTGAAGAAAAAGAGTTAAAGCGTGTGTACAAACCCGTAAAAATTTCCTTGCGATGAATGCTTGTAAGGAATTGACCGTTGCTTATATGCACAAGAACATCCATAAACGCTAACGACAATTTGATTCATGTTCAGACGTTTAATTTAAAGAAGGGTGAAAAGAACAGAGTTTATTTAAAAATAATTGGCGATTTTTGTTGTTACGAAAAAGGGAAAAGGTGTCGTCAACGTAACGTTTGTACCACAGCACATCTGGAGGCCCAGAAGAGGCAAACATCTTACATTCATAATAGCTTACGAAAATATTAGCAAATACTGGTCCAAGAGGAGAACCCAATGACACTCCATCAATTTGTTTGTACATGATATCACTAAAACTAAATTTAACTCATTTAGTAGCCGCTATCATTAGTTCATTAAAAGCCTCCTCGGACATGTGTGGTACAGCCATGTCCGTGTGAAAAAGATTATCAATACAGATTTCGATGATTTTGATGGTTTATCATTATCAATACAGATTTCCATTCTTTTTTATGAATTTATATGCGTAATCTGCAATATCCAAGTCTGCAATTAGAAATTGTTAATACTTCAGTTTACAATGATTTTTTTTTCTTAGGAACTAATGTGATCACATATTAAGCAGAACTTTGAACATTAAGACGTCAATGTCTCATAAAGAAAATTGGATAAATCAAGAGTTGAAAAAACAAAACTCAATGGCGGATGATCAATATAAATGCTTAGTCGTTGAAAACCATTCCAATGTTAAAATCACAGTAAACTATTACAAAAATTGGTCTCCTTTTTGCAAGTTTCCGACTTCTTCAAAAACACTTCAACCAACAGAGAATCATTGCTATCGTCATAAGGAATCATACAAGTTTGAAATTTTTGCGCATATAGACAATAAAAATAAAGAAAAGCTTCTTGGACCCGAGAATTGCAACGATATCGAAGGGATAACTATAAGTGAATCATTAACTTGTCAACGAAATACTGTATACGAAAATGGCAGAAAAATAATCGGTCGTCACATAAATCGAGAAAACGATTTTCCCGTGAAGTATGGAGCATCTACAAAACCCCTGGCACATGACTCTCAAACAGAGAGAAACTTTTCATCAACAGTAGAAATCGATTGCAATCAAAGTAATTCAACCTGCACAAATAATGAACGTTTTGCGTCAAAAACACAGCGACGCTCAATTGCTGATAAAACAAGCCAAGAACAATTGACCAAAAAAACCATTCAATATTACTCCGAGGGATCATGGATCTCAAAGATGATCGTAACTTATTATTTAAACGAAAGAAAAGTCACAGAAGAAGTAAGTGGTAATGGAGAGAGAGTGAATATTTCTGCAAGCGCAACAAATGTCGAAGTGAGATTTAAAGTTATGCGTCCACTTTGGGGTGATGTCATGACGTACGACCGTTTTAACAAGACCTGGTTAAAACCATATACACCACATCTTCCGATACAAAAAGCAAAAATCGCACATTTACTCTTAGTGGTAATCTTTGTTGGGAGGCAGTCATGGAGTCAGTAATGAGTATGGAGAAACAAAAGAAATGGGTTTTATCAACTGACGAAATTTATTGCCCTCAAAGAAATTCAACCTGCTCAAATAATGAAAATTTTGCGTCAAAGACCCAACAACACTCAATTCTCGACGATATAAGCCAAGAGCAGTTGACCAGAAAAACCATTCAATATTACTCCAAAGGTCCGTGGATCTCAAAGATGATTGTAACCTATTATTTAAACGAAAGAAAAGTCACGGAAGAAGTAAGTGGTGATGGAGAGAGAGTGAATATTTCTGCAAGCGCAACAAATGTCGAAGTGAGATTTAAAGTTATGCGTCCATTTTGGGGCGACGTTATGAAGTACGACCGTTTTACAAATACCTGGTCGAAACCGTATACACCTCATATCTTCCGATACGAGAAAGCCACTGGTCGCACATTTACTCTTAATGGTAATCTTTGGTGGGAGGCAGTTATGAGAGTAACTGATGAATACCACGAGGAAACAAATGAAATGGGCGAAGTTTAAAAGGTGAAGAACTTTCTATAATCGATTAATAATTTACAATACGTAACGTACGTAAGCTTGACACATGTGTGCTATTGGCGTTTATCATTTGAATTCCAGCTAACAAATTCCTGCAGATATCACTGAAAATAACATTTGTTGTGTTTTGAAGTATTGTACTTGCAGCCCTAAATAATGTGGTAACTATATAATATAACATGAGTGTATTCTCTGATTGTGTACTGGCGATAACAATAAACTACTCGATCTTTATTATTTCTATTGCGTATTGTACTCCATTGTACTTGGAATC